AGTACGCACGATGATACGGGAGAGGAATTGCGGTAGGGAAGGAGAGCTGACAACTTGGGGTCGGGGGGTGGACGAGAGGCACGGGTAGCAAAAAAGAGGCTGGATGATGGAGCTTTTGGCTAGCGGGCGGTGGCACGCTCCTCCGAGGCAGCAGGGTGTGTGCTGTGACGGGACGCATGGCGCTGCCGTTTGGGTCGCGGCGCCGGTTGAGCGTGAGGCGGCGGGGTTAGGTGGACAGTTGGTAGCAGGTGGCATGACGGGTGGTAGCGAGAAAGATTTTGACATAGCTTGCATCAGGGCCGCAGAATCGGGGGTCGTGCTCAGAGATGTTGTAGATAAAAACTAAGAAGATGCAGGTAAAACTGTTGACGGACTAATAAAATGCTAAGACTTTGTGAACAAAGTAACTCAGAAGATGAAGATGGTCGTTAGCCACATGTTCAAGGAACATGACGAACAACCATGGAAAAGTTTACAAAGAAGAGTACGTTTTAAAAATAAGTTGGTTGGGGCTCATCTGCCTGCGCAGGTCATAACCCCTGGCACCGCGACGACTTTAAGGCGGTTTGGCGGGCGACGGCATGGCAGATGGGAAGGGCACACATTTCAATTAGAGATAGAGTTGATCGAGTAAACGAAGATCAAATTGAAGAAGAATACGATTATATAAAGGAAGATGCAAAAAATGTGAATTGTTCGGGTAGTTATGGTGTGTTGTACCCGAAGAAGATGCAGATGCTTCAGAGGTAAATGTAGTAAAATGTAACGAACATGTGGTTCATGTCGAGGTAATTGTCGTCGGCATGAGTCACACGATACCACTCCATAACATGCGCATTTGCCACTCCGCCCCTCTCCCCGCGATCCCTCCTCTCTCTCCTCTCTCTCCTCTCTCTGCTCTCTCCTCTCTCTCCTCTCTCTCCTCTCTCCTCTCTCTCCTCTCTCTCCTCTCTCTCGCTTCTCCGACGTGTGCGAGTGGTAGGTAACGATCGTTTTAGGATGGCGCAGCAGCCGGGGCAGGATCGGCCGTACGGGCGACAGGGGCAGAGGATGCGGTTGGAAACGGTAGCGGGTTGGGTGGCGTGCTTGGGTGTGATGGCGTTGATCGGGGTCACACACGCCAGCCAGCCGCCCAACGGGCGCGTGTGGGTCGATGACGATGGCACCATGCACATCAACTCGAACAATCGCGTCGAGGTCACCGGTTCCAACGTCATTGTCAACGGGATGGATGTCGTGCGCGCGCTCAAGGCCATTCTCGAGGCCAACCCGAGTTCAACCTGGCAGGCGCCAACTGCTCGGATCCTGTCAGCCTCAAGCATGTCTGTTTCTTCTGTCTACGCAGCTGACCTGGACAACGATGGTCGTATGGATGTGCTCAGCGCTGATGCTGGCTCTAGTACGGTGGCATGGTACCGCAACATTGGTGACGGTTCTTTTTCTGCACAGATCATCATCAACACAAACGCCGATGGTGCAGTCTCGGTGTATGCTGCTGATCTGGATAACGATGGCGACCTGGATGTCCTGAGCGCCAGCAGTACTGACGACAAAATTGCTTGGTATCGCAACAACGGCGATGGTGCCTTTTCTGCGCAGATTGTCATTTCCAATTCGGCTCACGGTGCCATCGACGTTTATGCCGCCGATCTGGATAACGATGGCGACCTGGATGTCCTCAGCGCCAGTCATTATGACGATAAAATTGCTTGGTATCGCAACATCGGCGATGGTGCCTTTTCTGCACAACTTATCATTTCCACTGCGGCTGACAGTCCTCGCTCTCTATATGCGGCCGATCTGGATGGCGACGGCGATCTGGATGTCCTCAGCGCCAGCGCGAATGATGACAAAATCGCGTGGTACCGCAACAACGGCAATGGTGCCTTTTCCGCACAAATTGTCATCTCGACTGCGGTCGACGGTGCCATTGACGTTTACGCCGCCGATTTGGATGGTGATGGCGACTTGGATGTCCTCAGCGCCGGTCATAATGATTACACAATCGCCTGGCATCGCAACAACGGTGATGGTACCTTTTCTGATCGGATTCCCATCGCGACCGATGCGCAAAGTGCCACCGCCGTGTATGCGGCTGACCTCGACGGGGACGGGCGCCTCGATGTTCTCAGTGCCAGTGAAGCAGACAACAAAATCGCATGGTATCACAACAACCAAGATGCCACCTTTTCCTCCCCACTCGTCCTCACGACCTCCGCCAATAGCGCCTTTTCCGTGTTTGCAGCCGATCTGAATGGCGATGGAATGCTTGACGTCCTCAGTGCGGCGCGAGCTTCCAACACGGTGGCCTGGTACCCCAACAATGGAAAGTGGGCACCGTGGGCTGACTATGTCGAGAGCATGTGAGAATATCATTTGCCGGAGCAAGCCAGCTGCTTTGGCCTGGCACCTCCCGTCAGCACGCACCCGCGGTGGCTCGTGTTTGTTTTTATTCGTCATCAATCCTGTTTCTGCCGTAGCGAGTGAATGTCCATGGCCCAAGAACTGTTCTTCGGTCACAAATGTGGCGGGCTTGCATATCAGCCGGCCACTTTTTTTGTGCAAAGTTTTGTGTCTGTCCCAAATTGATGCTTCTCGTGTGCATTTCCACCTGCGCTGTGGGCTGTCAGAGGGGATCAACGCGCTGCTCGTCATTCACTCTGAATCGATTGGAGTTTCATCTACTTCTGCAGCAACGACAACAATATGGGCCAGACAGCTAGAACGAGCAAGTGAATTCTGGCCTTAAATGTTTAAAGCATCTCAAGCGGGCTCAGCCCAGATGCGTGGCTACGAGGATTTGTTGGGCCACCATACCACCACCAAACATGGCGGCTACGGCGACAAAGGAGTTGATGCACATGAGGCCCATCCCCGAGAGGCCGTGGCCCGACGTGCAGCCACCGGCCAAACGGGAACCCACAAGCATCAGGATGCCACCGAAAACGGCAGCCCCTGGCGCAGCCCCAGGAATGACTGCTCCTTCCGTGGCGCCCATCCGCGCTGAAACGGAAGCTGCCAAGGCTGCCATGGCAATGTAAAAGACCTGCCACCAGTTGCCCATGCCCGACTTGAACTTGCACAGGTGTCCACACGTCTGCTTGATAAATGGCAGGCCCTACAAGCACCCACAGGAAGGACACGAGCGTTTGGTAGCAGCAAAGAACATGAATGTTTCATGTAATACATACAGGCGTGTCGGCTGAAAAGGCAGCGGCAGGCAGGGCAAGAGAGGGCGACAAGGGACAGATGGCATTGGCTGTGCCTCTCTTTGCCCGCTGGAGCATGATCGTACCGAGGTTTGCGCGCAGAGCGTCATATAAGAGGTCGAGGAGCCCAGTGTGTCACCGATAAACAGGATAGCAGGAATTTGCATGGAGCCCACGATGGCTCCCGAAACAATGGGCGACCAGGCGTGCCACGCCAAATAGTCACCGACGGGGCGGGCAAAATCCCGAGGCACCTCGCTCGTCCATGGAAGCAAGTACTCGAGGAGGCCAATCATGGTGGCAAGCATGATGGAGAATCCAACTGCCACCTTGGCATAGCTTGATCCGAGTTTCTCGTCCACAAAGACAACCTCGTCGCCGCTGCGGGTGTGGTTGATCGTCCCACGCACAACGTGAATGGCGGTTGTTCGAGCAGCTTTTGCTTGAGCCAGCATGCGCTCGAGGACAACTCTTGCTGCAGACGAGGTCGCTTACCGAACGGGACGATTCGTGCCAAAGAAGCGTGAGAGCGGCTCGTGCAGGAGCGCGTAGATGTAGGCACCAGCAAAGAGCCCAGCCACGGTAAAACCTGCGTGCTGGACACCAGCACCAACTTGAATAATCACCATGCCTGGGCACTATATTTGACCAAAGAGGCAAGGGTGAGTGGGCACGTATGCGGCGAGCAATGGGGTGGCGAAGAACGTACCGCGCCCGCGATGGCCATGCCGGCGCCCAGAAGAGCCCCGCCAACAGCCGTGTCAAAAAAGCCTCGATGGCGCACGCAGGACCTGTTGTTTCACACCACGCACAAAACAACAACAACACAGAAGTGAATATCAAGACATGGCTGAGAAGCGTTTGGTCGAGAGGCTTGCGAAATGGCATGGGCACGTACGCATATTCTTCACGTGCAGCCGCGAATCGCCGGGGAAAGAACCGCTGGACGACCATCATGCCGATTTGACCTGTCACGCATCACGTTGGGGGCATACAGGTTGGTGAGCTTGAATCATGTGCCAAGGGGCCACTAGAATGCGTGACACGAACCGGCAACGACGGCGGAGAGGAACATCTTCATCATGGTGAAGCGGGTCATGCCCATCTGATCACGAATGACCATGGGCTCTGTCACTGCAAGATCGAGAAGCAGACAGACAGAGAGAGAAAGAGGTGAGGAGAGCACTTGGAGCTGTCGTCAAACCCAAAACAAGAGCAGCACTGACCTTTGCCCTTTTCCATGGCCCAGCCAAAGAAGAGACCCATGGCACCTGTTGTAGCAGAGAAAAAAAAGTGAGTAAGGCAAAGGGTAGGAGAGAGAGAGAGGCGCGTCAGGTCATGCGGGAGCGGTCATGGAGGCACAAGGGGGGACACAGGTGAGGTGGGATGGCCATGAGACGTACTGGCGGCAACGACTTGACCGAGCTTCGTGAAAAAAGATGACGGGGCTGGCATGCTCATGGCCGCAGCCGCCTTATGATCTGACGGAAACATGGCGTCTGCACTGGCAGCATGCTTGTTCCGCAGGCTCATGGCGACAATGGACGGCTCCCAACGAGGCAAAGCCGTGATATCAAGTAGCTGGAGCTATCGAAGCTGATGTGATGACTTGTCGTTGCAGGCGGATACACGCCTGGTGCTGCTGGCGAAAGAGTGAGAGAGTGAGTGAGAGAGAGTGAGAGGGGAGGGAAAGGGTGAGACGGCCTCGAGCGATGAAGAAAAAAAATGCCTTGGCGACGCGTCCATCAAGGTGGAAGGGGGGTGGGGAGCCTTGAACCTCGCTGACCTGGATGACCAAATGATGATGAATGATGGCTGCGCGCAGATACAGAGAGAGAGAGAGAGAGAGAGGGAGAGAGGGAGAGAGAGGCGTGAGTCACTGACGAGTGAGAGAGAGAGAACGAGTGTGTGTGAGTGTGTGTGTGTGTGTGTGTGTGTGTGTGTCATTCGGGGCCTGCGATGCTTCGAGTGTGTGTGCGGGTCCGTGTGCGGGTCCGTCAACGTCGGAGAGGGGGTAACGTGTTGCCAATTATTACTTGTGGTACTTTTGGAACTTGGTTACCACTGCATAGGTTAGAGAGAAGTTTGAAGTTGGGGCTGCCTGGACTCCATACATCTGCCATCGTATAAATGTCAGACAAATCAATGAGGTGAGACGTGCGGGTCCGCATCTTGTCAGATACGATAAGAAAGAGACGAATGCAGTGACATTCAAAACTATAACAGAGCGCGAAGATAGTGAACGTTGCAATGGGCACGAAATCAGTGAGCGCTCACGTATTTGGCGGTACGTTTGCTGATTTCCTTGACGAGCTTGTTTTGGTCTGTTTCATCACACATGTACACACAGACGCTCACACTCGCCACCACTATTCAAAGGGAAACATAGAGAAAACCTCCCACACCTATCACACGGTATTACCACACATCTACGTTAGTGATTGCAGGTCCAAGAATTGGCAGCGTCATCTCTGTGTTCTGGCGCTGCATCCCACGGGGTGGCTCCTGGCTGCTGTGAGCCCTTGAAAACCTGGCTGCTGTGAGCCCTTGGTCACTCGGGCTTGATTGGTACACCTGCTGGCCTGTGGTCTTTTCACTCTCTTGGTCTTCCTTGCTCATGTCTTTGCGTTGTTGCGGTTTGACTGGCTGATGAATTAGACCGGAAGGGAAGGGGGGCACTGTGCATTTTCCGGTACATGTACATGGGCAGTGACTCGCTGGAGCTTCTCACGTTTCACGAGTCGACGGCGGCAGCGGGCGAGAACAAGTGTGAGAAGAGGCAGAGCGTCTTGACGGTACGTCCTGGCGTCGAGGGATGTGAGTGTGATGTTTGATGGTCCGCCGTCAAGGAGCCGTGTGTATGTGTGTGTGTTGACGAGGCTGAATGAGAGAGAGGGAGAGATGACGCGTCACCCAGTCAGATGAAAGTTGAGGGAAACGGGCACGGGTGGTGGGGATACACAGGCAAACGCAGTCCAGTGGCATCTTGTCGAAGGGATGGGTCCAGTTGTTCATTAAATTTTTTTCTGAAGAGGCCGCCATCTTGCCCAATCATTCCAGCCCCTCTCCCTTCCCCTCGCTTGTAGCTTTGCTGTCGGATCCGGCCTTTGAACGCCTTCTTATTCAACCATCGCGACACGACTGCCGTTTGTTCTACAGTCGTTTGCACGATTAGCGCACCGCACTTTGTATCTTCCAGAACGCGGACGTATCGGCACTAGCCGCTGCTGCGAAGCTTTGTTTTACATTGACGCACAGCATGGGACAGACCCAGGCGGTTGCCGCCGCAGTGGCAGGCGGGACCGTGTTGATTAGTTCCCTCCTGACTTGGCGCGAATACTTTCGCCAGCCCCCTCCCAAGCCGCGTGCCCAGCAAGCGCCCCCTCCCAAAACCGCCACGGCTGCCCCAACGCGTGCTGCCGCGGCCCCCGCGGCGGGTGACGACCAGAATAGCAGCAGTCCTCCCCGTCGAGAGAACGAGCAGCCAGACGCCCACGTGCAAGATCAGTCCGACGATCAACTCGAAGATCAAGGAGGGCACGCTAGCGACGAGGCCCCGGCTCCGGCCCCGGCCCCAGCTTTGACAGAGCCGGCCCCCGAGTCCAGTTTGGCACCAGCCTTGGACATGTCCACGATTGATGATGCCGATTACGTCTGGGTTCAGCAAAATTTGCAGCCCTATATGCCCGACAACAAGGACTTTGCCGACTTTTTCCACATTGCCGTTGCTGGCGCGCAGGGCGTTGGTTCGTCTTGCATCGCTCGTTCTTTGTTGCTTCGTCTTGCGTGGTTTGGTTTGGAGCTGACACCGCCTGTCTTCTTTTGCTTTTGTTGCTCTGGCTTGCTTCTCCATGGCCCACCGTAGGCAAGACGCAGCTGATGTTGTGGTTGCGTGCGCTCTTCAAGATGCTCATGGCCGAGGACCAGGCCGAGATCTTGTCCTCATCCGCCGAACCGGCCGAGGCGGCTGAGGATTCAGAGGAGGCCAAACTGTTGCGTTTCTACGCTCGCCTGAGCCAGTTGCAGGAGAACGACATGGACCGGCCCAAGCCGGAGAATGATATGCGCCACCCCACTCCCTGGCAGCCCGTGGAAGAGGCTCAAGTCATGCTCTGGGATTTACCTGGCGGAGGCGTCGCCCCGTCCATGGCAGGGGGTGATGACGCGCTTGATGTCAGCACCCAAGGCTATGTCAACTCGATGCAACTGCATACCATGTCCTGCGTCGTGGTCGTGGTCGGCCTTCACGACACCGAGGTTGCGCTCAACGTCGTTAATGCCTGCCACGAAGACCACGTGCCCCTCGTGCTCGTGCAAACGCACGTCGATGAGCTTGTGCGTGATACTCTCAAGAAGGAGGGCCGCCAAGTGGACGCTGAATCCCTGCATGCACGCCTCGAGAGCCTGCTGGAAGGCCGCCGCGCCTACCTTCGTCAGACGTACCAGCTCACCGAGCAGGACGCCCTCTTCCTCACCAACCTTACCCCGTACACCGACCCCGATGTTCACCGCGCCCTGGATCGTGCCGAGGCCAGTTGTTATGAACTACCCGCCTGTCTCTCGGCCATCCTCAACCGCACCCACGATCGTCATGCCGAGTCGCGCGACGTGTTGCATCGCTGGCTCGATTCGCTGATCCAAACAGCCGGTTATCATCTTGCCTACGTTGCCGGCGTTCGCTCCACCCATTAAGCGCCCGCGTCCAAGTTGGCCAACCGTTGTGTTTGCTGATCCCGCCCGCCTGCGCACCTTTTCAATCCGCCGCGCCCCTTCTCTCTGCGCTTTCCTTTTTTGATTGAACTGTTGGAGCTTGTTATATTACACTTTTCTAATTTGATGTGCGACCATCATACACCGCCACCTGCTCCACACAATCAGACGCTAGAACCACCAAGCAAGTGGGCCAGCCCGCTCCTCAACCAGTCCTGCAGCTCCCCCATAGTCAGTCAGCTACAAGAAGAGTGATGAACGACTTTTGTTGTCAGATAAAGCAACAGAGAGAGAGAAAGTTTCGCGAGAGAGAGAGAGAGAGAGAGAGAGAGAGAGAGAGAGAGAGAGAGAGAGAGAGAGAGAGAGAGAGAAAGAGAAAGAGAGAGAGAGAGAGGTTTTTGAGAGAATTTCTTCGCACACACACACACACACACACACGCGCGCGAGAGACAGTTGGGGACGGATACGGGCGCGCGCTCGTTGAATGCCACTGGCGTGAATGCCAGGGCGGTTGGGAAGGGCTCGAATTGCATTTGGACTGGTCATTGGGATCGTCATGTCCGGGTTTTGGTTGCGCCTGCCGCGGCAGGTGACGCGGTTGGCATGGGAGCAACGTGCTCGATTGGGCACCAATGCGCTGCGCGAGTACGTAGCAAACCCGCGAGCCAAGGCTGGGCTGCCAACGTCTCTCCCCTCTTTGATTTGTGCGGCTTGGCTCACTGGCTTGTTGCGAACTGGGATAGAATCGCGGGCATCCCTCGCTATGCCGCCATCAAAGCCGAGGTTTGTTCGCTGCATGGGAGTGGAGTCTTTTCCTCGGTCAACATCACTGTCCAACTGCAAAAAAAAAAAAAAAAAAAAAGAAACAAAAAAGAGGCCTGTGCACTTGGAAGGCCTGTAGCCCCCGCTCATGTCTTTCTGGTCGCTTCATGCAGCATGTTGTGCCTACTGTGGGCTCACTTGTTGAGTCATGTGCCAAGCGCATCACAGTCCTTGAAGACAAGTTGCGCGCCGACCCTGAAATGGTGCGCTTCCCGTTTCGTCGCATGTGCCGCTCGACCCATCGTCCACGAGCCCTCACCTGCTGCGGTTTTGCACACAGCTCGACCTGAACGAGATGGAGACGCTTTGCCTGGATTTGGGTCGTGCCTGGGGCGCCGTCCACCACCTTAACATGGTTCAATCTTCAAGCGAGCTGCGTGATGCAATTGAGCAAGTCCAGCCTCAGGTCAGCAGCCTGGCTGCTGACGCTCTGCTCACAGTCGGCCTCGGCTGTCTACCCTCAAACACTTGAGCAATAATCAGCATCTCGATCGCTCATTGCTACTCCTTTCCTTGCAGGTTGTCGAGCTCATGGCTAATCTCAGCCAGTCCGAGCCCATCAGCAAAGGTTTGTGCCTTTTTCTCCCCTGATCCAGCTCTTGCTTTGAATGATGGCTGTCATCTCTGATCATGGTTACCGGGGGTGATTTTTGGTAGCCTACCAAAGCATGGCCGCTACACTGCCTGCTGCCCAGGGCGAGAATGAGGTGACCCGAATCGTTGACTCGGGTAAGCGACTGCCTCTTTTTTTTTTTTTTTTTTTTTTTTTTTTTTTTTTTTTTTTTTTTCAGCTCACCTGCTGCAATAATGGCACCAACCCACTTGCACAGCTTTACGGGATGCCAAGCTGTCGGGCATTTTTGCGTCGCCCGAGGACCGCGAGCGCATCAAAAAACTCCAGGTTGTCATGGCTGCCTTGCACGTGATGACTATTACCTTTCGTCGAGCCTTTTGCACTTCTACTTGTGTTTGCTAATGCAACATGCTCGTGATGCGTTGCTCCCTGAACCAGATGGAGCTCTCCCGTCTGAGCCACACTTTCCGCAGCAACGTTGTTGCTAGTCGCGGAGCGTAAGTCCTGGTGTACTCTGCCATGGGCTCATGTCAAACTCTGGCCAGCAGCTCACGAGTTCTCGGTTTTCGATTTGCCCGCAGCTGGAGCCACACGGTTACAGATCCCAAAGATCTGGCTGGCGTGCCCGACCACCTTCTCAAGGGGCTGGCCGTCAATCCCGAGCAATGGCAAGGTATTGTTGCGTTCACCAAGCCTGATCTTTTGGAATAAAGATGTGTCTTGTCCTCCACTCATCTTTGCCCTTGTGACATGTTTCAAGAGGGGCCTTGGAAACTGGATTTGACACAGTCCTGTATGGAACTGGTCAAGTATTGCCAAGCTCGCCCCACCCGTGAGCTGGTACGTCTCTTTCCCGATCCCCCATCTGCGACCGCTCGATAAGCTGGATAAATGGACTCGGGTTGAACGCTTGTGTCTCACATCCAATGAACCATATTGCACGTGCTCTTTGTCTAGCTTTACCGAGCCTCCATTGTTGTGGCCAGCACGGGCGAGTGGGACAACTCGCAAGGCTTGGTGGACATTTTGCAGGTGTGACCCTCAGTAAAGGCAACGGCAGCAGCTGTCGTGGTAGCAGTGAGCCAAGGACCCAGCATCGCTTCCATTGCTTCATGCATATTCGGCTGCACTCAGCCTCGCCATTGCCCAAAAAAAGGACTTACACAGTGTCTTTGCCTCTGGCTCTTGCTGTCATACTGTTGATGAAATCAGCGTCGTCAAGACCTGGCACAGCTTTTGGGATATGGCAACTATGCGGACGTGTCCCTGGCCTCAAAGTCTGCTGATTGTACGTCACTCCTTGGGGTCTCAATCCAAGACAATGCACAAAAGGCGAAAGCATACAAGAGCATTCGTTTAATGTGTGGCATTCACCCTGCATCTGCGCTTGCATTGCATTGCATGAAGCAACGGCGACGGTGGAATCTTTTCTCACCGCTTTGGGCCACAAGGCGCAAGGCGCCGCCCGCGTGGAGCTTGAGGAGCTTCGCGCGCTGGCTCAGGTGTGCGCTCGGCCACCATCGCCTTGATTCGACTTTAATGTGCAAACCTTACAGAGGTTTTAAATGTCGCTCACAGGAGCTTGATCAGCTTGACGATCTCAAGCCCTGGGATACGGGCTACTATGCCGAGAAGCTGAGTGAGGTTTGTGCCTTGATCATATTCTACAATTATCAGTCGCTGCCAAGAGTGAGCACATTTTCCTATCTGTCTGACCTCTGTTGGTCGCGTGCGTCAAAGACCAAGTTTAAAATCAACTCCGCAGAGGTGCAGCAGTACTTTCCAGCCGATCATGTGATGGCCGTTTTTTTTGATTTTTTGACCACGCTCTTTGGTGTGCGCATTCAAGATGCGACCGCTGAGCTCGAGCCGGAGGTGCGTGTCAGATCGCAAGCCAGCAGGACGCACAGGAATGGGTCCTATTCGGTTCCAAGTTGTGCGAGTCTTGAGCTTGTGGTGGGCGGCTAAAACGGCAACGATATGGTATTCTAGACTCTGTGGGACCCACACGTGCGTTACTTTCAAGTGGCCGACGCCGACTCGAACAAGCCGATAGCCTCGTTCTTTCTGGACCTCTATGCGCGCCCTGGCGCCAAGTCGCCCGGTATGCTGGGGCGTGCTGGCCCCTTTGCCTTTGGGAGCCCAATGATTTCCTTCTTCTGGCATCTGATCTAAACCGCACCATCGCGTGTTTGGCAGGCGCTTGGATGGACAACTGTGTGGACCGCAGTGCGCACCTGAAAACCGTGCCTGTCGCGCACATGGTTTTGAATCTGCAACCACCCAGTGGCGGCACCCGTAAGCTGCAGTCGCATGATCTTGAATTGGGAATTTCAGCTTTCACGAAGCAAGGCTGGACACAGGACGCCTTCTTTTGTCAAAATCACTGTTTCATGTGCTTTTCTGGTCTGCTCGACAGCCACGTTGATGTCACTTCGGGATGTGGAAACGCTTTTCCACGAGTTTGGCCACGCACTCCAACACATGCTGACCACGGTGCGCACGCTTGCCGAGTTCGGCTTTGTGTAAGCACGTCAAAGGTTTCCGGCTTACGAGCAGTATTGCGTTGCCACAGTGTGATTTGTCGCAGGTGGCCGGCATCAACAACATTGAGTGGGATGTTGTGGAGCTTCCCAGTCAGTTCATGGAGAACTGGGTGTATCACAAGCCTCTCCTCCGCCGCCTGACGCGCCACCACGAGTCGGGCAAGCCCATGCCCGAGTCCATGATCGATTCCATCGTTGCCGCCCGAACCTTCATGTCGGGCAGGTACGTTGGATCGTCTCCTTTGCCCATTTCTTAATTTTATTTACCTTGAAGAGAGGGTTGCTACTTTCTTGGACAGGGGCTTCTTGCATGTATTTCCTGTGCATCATACGCGTCCGAATGTGCAAACGCATCCCTTTTTCCAACACCTTTGGCACCTTGCACTGACGTCGTCCATTTTTTTTTTTTTGTTTTTTTTTTTTTTTTTGTTTTGGTTGTGGGTCCATAGTTTTACGGCCCGGCAAGTCTTCTTCTCGCTGCTCGATTTGTCGTTGCACGTCAGCCCGCCGACCAGCGCCGAGGAAGCTGTGCAGCGTCAACAGGTCTGTGCGAGCTTTGAACCGGCTTCTGGAATGCGATGGACGCTCTCCTTGACGTGCACCGGTGCTTTATTTGTTGTAGAGCATGAGCGAAGCCTTTTTGGCGCGGCCGCTACTACCAGAGGATCGATTTTTGCTGCAGTTTTTGCATATTTTCGGTGGTGGCTGTACGTCTGATTGCTCTCGGGTAGCGTCTGCTGGACATGTTGGATATGGCCACGATTCACTTTGGCATGGATGGGTGTGGGCCGTTTGGATGGCAGATGCCGCGGGCTATTGGAGCTACAAGTGGGCTGAAGTGTTGGCAGCCGATGCATTTGGCCGTTTCGAAGAGGATGGGGCGCTCGCCGAAACAGCTGAGGGCGAGCGCAAGCTGGAAGCCATTGGCCGGGAATTCCGAGCCACCATCCTGGCTCAAGGAGGCTCACAAAACCCGCTCCGCACGTTTGAGGTATGTGGTTGGGAAGTGCTCTACGCGCCACGGAGGACCGTCAAGCTGAGACTTGCCTTCCTTCTTGCTTATCATGGACTTGGACTTGTAGGACTTTCGCGGTCGCCCGGTCGATTATGCCGCCTTTTATCGGCAGCTCAATCTCGATGCGACGCAGGGTCAATAAAGCTTCAGCATCACCACGACCTCGCCCAACCTTTACCAAAGAGGCCCCACACTTGCTCATTATCGACCAGAAAAGCATCCATGATGCATCCCAATCGATTTGTTCGTTCCTCGGCGTGCCCGCATGATGCTGTCTTGCCTTCAGGAGAGAGGATATTATAAACCTTTCAAAGAAAAAAAAGAGAGAAAAAAAAAAAAGTTCAAAAATGTGTGTGTGTGTGTGTGTGTGTGAACTTTTACAGGCGGCGGCGGAAGCGGAGGTGGGAGTGACCGGGGTGTTTTTTTTTCCCATGGCAATCTGTGGATACGGGGGGCGGGGGGCTTGGTACGCAAGCAGCATGGGTTGGAATGGATCATATGGCATATTGGTGGGTCGTCTGATGCTGGTACTGGTGGCGGGTGGGTGGCTGCCACTTGCATGTGGTGATGAGCCGACCATTGGAGTTTCGGAGGGCGGCGACTTGGTGATCATGGCACCACACGGGCTCGAGCTGAACGCGGGTGGTGAGCAGGCTTCCACCGCGAGGGGTCGGGTTCTCGTCAACGGCGCCGACCTTGGAGCTGGCATGGCCCGTTGGGAACGCTTCTTCCAGCAAAATCCCACGTTGATCTGGGAGCCGTCTAGCCAGCGCCTCATCAGCGATGGCTTGGCGTCACCCACCGAGCTGCAAACGGCCGACTTGGACGGCGATGGTGACGTTGACGTTTTTGCCGCCTCGTTCTCGACTGGCATGTGTGCGTATTACCTGAACCACGGGAGCGGCAACTGGACGGAGCATGCCCTTTGCTCTGCCAGTCTCAACATCAGTGCCGTGCTGCTGGCAGATTTGGATGATGACGGTGAGACGGATCTCGTCGTGGCCGACTACGGGCGCGGCAGCATTTTTTGGTATCGCAATCAGGGCAACGCAACCTTCTCTTCAGCCGAGTCTTTGGCTGCGTCCATGCCCGAGGTCGTTGGCTTGGCCTCGGGCGACATTAATGGGGATGGTCGCCTGGATATCGTCAGCTGCTCCATGGCCACGGGTTTTGGCATTGTGGTGTTTCGTGGGCTTGGCAGCGGCTCATTTTCAGAAAGCGTGCTTCGACTGGAACCTTCCATCGCTCTAGCTCTGACTAATGTGGACCAGAGCATGGGATTGGATATCGTCATTAGTGATGGAGAGGGAGCCAGCTTGATCTGGCTTCCCAACTCGGGCAACTTTTCATATTCGACTGCACGCACGATCAACAATGCCCTGCAACGTGCTTCCGCTGTCACGAGCGCCGATCTTGACAATGACGGTACCATGGACTTGTTGGTGACCGACGCGATAGCCGGCCAGGTGTTGTGGTATCACAATGATGGCACGGGTAGGTTTGCGGCCGCCGAGTCCCTGGACGCTGCGGGCACGAGCCCCTTCACAGCCAAAGCCGCTGATTTGACAGGGGACGGCTTTTCAGACATTGTGAGCACGGACATCAACGGCAATTCAATTCTTTTCTACCGCAACCTGCGGAACGGCTCGTTTGCTGCAGGGCAGCATATTGATGCCAGTGCCCCGGGGGCGCAGCCGCTGAGTCTGGCGGATGTGGATGGTGACGGCAACATTGACGTCCTTTCTGGATTGCGCGATGGCCACCGGCTCGTCTGGTATCGCAACGACTACTGGCTTTAGCGCAAGATGGCGCACTGTCACAGCCCATTGAGGGTCCTGCTAGAAAGGCATAATAATAGAATCAATAATAGTATCGTATCAATTGATGAATGGACGGATGAATGAATGGAATGACGTTGGAGGAATATTCACAGGAAAGCCGAGACAGGGCAGCCGCTTAAAACCAATAATTGTTGGGATACCAGTCTATGGAGTCTGCATCGCGGTTGGCACAAATAACGTCGGGATTGCCGTCACCATTCAGATCACCAACGCCGACCCAGCGGGCGCCATCGGCTGCAGTGTTGAGGGGCAGCTCGGGCGAAAACCTTTGGTTGCCCGTATTTCGAAACCAGCCGATCTCATCATTATCAGCGCTGGCATAGACCACGTCGGGGCGCCCGTCAAGGTTCAGATCCGCAGCCAGAACTGAATAGGCGTTATTGACGTTGGCCTTTAGGACAACGCCGGGGGCAAAGCCCGCCGCACCCAAATTGCGGTACCAGGTGACCGCACTAACGCTGCTCACCACCACGTCGATCCAGCCATCGTCATCCACGTCGGCGGGAAAGGCAGCGAGCGGACGCGAGCAGTTGGAGCACACTAGCCGTTGGGCGGAGAAGGAGCCATTGCCGAGGTTGCGATACCATGCGACGAGATGGGCGTCTCGCGCCGGGGCCAAAATGTCCGGCTTCCCGTCGTTGTCCAGGTCGGCCGCCGCGATGGACAGCGGATAGGCTACGTGATCAATAATGCGCTGTGCCCCAAATGCCACGGTCCCGTTCGGAGCCACCGCGTTGGGGAACCAAGACAGCTTGCCATCACCGTAGCTGGCCACCATGGCATCCAGGCGACCATCGAGATCCAGGTCGGCAGTGGCCAATGCGTTGGGATAATTCATGCCGTCGGTCACGACGGACGCGTTTGCAAAGCCACCATTCCCGAGATTGCGGAACCAGAGAAAAGCTCCTTGGGTGCGGCTGGCAGCCAGAACATCCGGAAAGCCATCGTCATCAAGATCGGCCGAGGCCACAGCTGACATGCCATTCATCTGATGAACAAGGCGAGGTCCGTCGAAGCGACCCGAGCCATCATTGCGGAACCAGTCCAAGCGACCCGAGTTGAGGCTGGTGCCAAGCACATCGAGGTCTCCGTCGGCGTCTAGGTCAGCCAGAGCAGCGTTCAGAGGATAATTCATCGAGCTGGTTACACTGTGGGGTGAGACCTCGTTCCAAAACATTTGTGGACGAGCATTGATGTATTCTTCCCAGCGCTGCCAACGAGCCAGCCCGGCGCTAACGTCGAGGCCATTGACGTGAATACGGCCGCTGGAGGTGATGTTCACATCGCCAGATGCCTGGATTAGCAAGGTTCCATTGACGTCAGTGTCCATGACGGCCTCGTTATGAAGATTGACATGTCCGACGTCGAACCCCAACACCATGACCGATACAGCAACCAGGCTCAAGCCGAGTCTACCCAGGCCACGGCCACGACCAGCGTTGCCATGCCAATACACCATGCTGTCGTCGTGACCTGGTTCACACCACCCAAATCGATCAGCCACCACACAGGCCTCCTTCTCACAAACGCACCACTCCTTGACCAGCCAGCTCGCACCACGTCGAATCGATGGGGCCAGCAAATCAGCCCTCGGACCTCCTCCTCCTCCTCCTGTACGGCCACCTTGACCAGCCAGCTCGCACCGCGTCGAATCGATGGGGCCAGCAAAGCAGCCCTCGGACCTCCTCCTCATGTACGGCCACCTTGACCAGCAGCCAGCCAAAACAAGTGCGATCGCTTCTTTTTTTTTTCTTCTTCTTGAGATCTTCTTCAATTGTCAGCAAAAACAGATAATAACATGGAAGCAAGCAGCACTAGAGGAAGACGGAGTGAGAAAGAGCAAGCAGCACTAAGAGGAAGAGGGAGGGAAGGAGGGAGAGGGAGAGAGGGAGGGTAGAGTTTTCGAAAAAGGAGGACGGCCTATGGAGCAGGAGAGATCGCCGAGGTTGGCGAACAAGCGATCTTTCAACGAAAGGCCATCAGGTCTTGTTGAATGTGTTTGTCTGTGCAGTTTTTGAGGAGGGAGAGATCGATGTTGGTCTGGAAGGGTGGGACAGCAGCCATTTGATTCATCAACTCGATTAGAGCAAGGGGTCAACGGGGTGGTGCTCGAGCGTCACCCCCATGTCCGTACCATCTTGCAGGGTCTGGACTTTGGTCAGTTTCTCCGCCAGCATGCGACACCACTGCACGCATTGCGGCTTATTCTACAGCAGACGCGATGACGGAAATCAGGTCACGTTACCACTCGGCCTGTTGCAAGCCAGCGACAAACAGGACCTACCCGGCACCGGATGGTATGCTCGGCGTTTTTCAACTCGAGAATGATGACTGTGCTATCATCACTTGGCTCTACAGACACCGCCAAGCATGAGTTACAAAATGAAACAAAATGAAACAAAAATGAAAGAAAAAGACAAAAGAAAAAGACAAGGAATGCGCATGGCTGACGTAAGCACGTGTGGCCAAGAGCGGTGCAGGGTGTTGCTTTGCCACAGCCGATGCTCTCGAACTGGGCACACGGGGGCGGAGTGGCGAGGAAATTTACCATTCATGGTCACAACATCGCGGAGTGAGATCACGTCGATCATCTCGCCGTCCACCTCTCGGTAGTAGCGCAGTTGAAAGCCGTCCAGGACAAAAAATCTTGCCTGTATTCATGAGTGGACGCACGTGTATGGGTCAACCAGAGCGCCTGTGGTCAGTCAAAGCAGACGTGTCCGGTCGAAGTGACGTACAGCATGACGCTTGCGGATGGACATGCGGCGCGCAAGAGTTCCCTTCTTTGCCGAAGTTTTGATGTGATCCAGCCAGTTGCTCAGTTCGCCCCGGCGAGGGTCGGCATCCAAATCTGCCGCCGTGGTACAAACGGAGTGGCAGGTGAGTGTGGTGGCGTGGCCATAGTGGATCGATACACAATCGCAAGGTACGAACTGGCTTCGAGCTTAACACTCAAGAGATACGAATGGTTCTTGGCGGAGCGAATCCAAGTGTTCTCGGTGGCGCTCATGCAGAATTTATAGCGGTCGGTACATGTCATTGCCTGGCCAATCTCGCCCACTTCAAACTTGAACTTGCCCGAAACCCACTGATGGACAGAGCGCAGAATTCAAGTGAATGTGGGCAGGGGACAGACGGCAAGAGTCAAGCTGGGGTTAGGCGGGGGCACGGCATGCATCAATGATGTTCGGGTGTCATGGTTTTACGCCAGAGCACGTACGCGCACAACGACATAGTAGGTGGCGCCTGGGAGGACGGGCACTGGTTCCGGGAGCACAACCACGCGACGCACGCTGGTGCCAGGATCAGCATCCAGATTGGCGATAGTGGCAATGGTTGAGCCACCGTCCTCGTCTTGATCTAGAGCATTCAAGATTGGCACCCATGGCATCAGGGTGAAGAGCGGAAACAACGGAAAGAGGGCAAAATAAAAGAAGAAGAAGAAAAGACAAGTGGGGTATGTGTGTGTGGGTGTGTGGGAGGGTGTGTGTGTGTGTGTGTGTTGGCGATAAAGACGCAAGTAGCCTTTGATGAAGAGCAGGGCCGCACCTTTGATTTCAACCGTGAATTTGCCAATATCCTCCATATAGACCCCGCCAAAGATGATGCTGGTGAGGGAGTTGTCAGCGGTCTGTGGGATGGTGATGGCTTGCGTCGCGCGAGGATAGCGCTTGTTCAAGAGCGTTTGAATGACCTCTCGATCCTCTAAAGCAGGGGATGGGGGCGGGCAAAGGGTTGGCGAGAATCAGCCCTCAGCGCTTTGTGCAGACTAGCAAGAGCGCCAAAACGTCTGGCGACACTCAGGCATACAGACACACAGGTACACATCGCGGACCTTGAGGTTCTAGGGCAAGGGCAGCCACCGCGCCCGCAAGGCCGGCATGGGGTACGTGGGTAGAATTGACTGCAGACGCCACGGGGGTAGGGTCCGATACCAGCCCGGGCTCGGCGGCTGCATCGTCGTCATCATCAAAATCGTCATTGTCAAAATCGCCAAAGGCTTCATCGTCCGTTCGAGCAAAGGCCGAAGCCGGGGCCGGGGCAGCCATCTTGGTCATTTCCTCCACATCATCAAACCCAAAGCCAAAGTCTTCGGCCTCCTCTACCCCTGCCATCCTCCTGGTACGGCGCGGGGTCAAATACAAATTCTAAAGAAGAAAAAAAGAAGAAGCAGCAGCAGCAGCAGCAGCAGCAGCAGCAGCAGCAGTAGCAGACGGCGACGAGAGTGTCGGTCCGTCGTCACCGTCTCAAGCTAGGCTCACTGCAGGTCCTCCCTCCTACACAACCAGAAGGATCCCAATCAGCGTACCACATGGCTTCAACACGTGCTCCTCTCCTCATTCACAGAGCCATGGTCTATACCACCCTCCCCAGGATACCCGGCCATGTGGCTGCCGATCACTGACTGCCATTCAATCACCGCCCACCGTTCACAGCTGAAGTAATGTGAGAGAGTGAGAGAGAGAGAGAGAGAGAGAGAGAGAGAGAGAGAGAGAGAGAGAGAGAGAGAGCTGGCCCTTTGAATGCTTGCGAATACAGTGACCATAGCTAAACTTGTCTGACAAAGCAATTTCTTTTGCTGACAATTCCTCTGTGCGTGACACATGCATGCATGCATGTGCTGTGCGACAAGTCGGACGGAACGAGTGTCCGCTCGCATTGGCTGCGCGACGACCTGGGGACACGAACGAGGCAGCCGCGACAGTTGAGCAGCAACCGTGTCAATGATGGATCGGCATTCGACTGCACTGCAAGCGTTTCACGCGTGCTTTTCCGTCGGCATCGTCACCACACTCCCAGCCAGCTGGCAGCAGCCTCTGAAAGTTTGCTTGCTCCACTTGAGCTCCCCAGCGCGTCCACTGCGCCGGTCGCAGTTTGCACGCCCCTGGTTCACCCCCCAGAGTTGCATGCTCGTGTGTCCAGCACCAGGCATTTACTTGATCAAGGCGCTGAGACGTGCCAACCAAGCTGCCAAGCAGCCGAAAGACGCTGCTTGCTGGTACTGAACACAAACGCGGTGCGTCCCATTGCCCCTCTGTCACCGGCCACCCGATTGCTTTCTGTGATGCTCGCTAGCCCACGGCAGAACGCTCATGGACAAAGGCTGTGGTAACTCGGTTCCATGCTCCGTTCCCGCACCGTCTACGCACAGGTTCACGTCTTGCCTCGGCTAAGAAAGGCCAGAGCTTTTCTCTGCCTCACCGCCCGCAAGCCCTACGCCGTGATCCTTTCCTTTCTTTTCCCGGCGAGAGCCCTCTCATGATGCCAGCCGCCAGCCGCATGGCAGCCACCCTCCTTGCACTCTTTCTGGCCCTGGGCAGCCTGCAAGCGGCCGATGGCGCCTATGGTGCCAAGGGCAAATGGAAAGCCGACAATTATTGCATTGACAACGACCTCAAGAGTAAGTCATTCAGCTCGGCCGCCTTGCCCCCCCCCCCCCCCCCCCCCCCCGGAACAGCCTCAAAAGACGATCAATGCGTGAAACAAGGAATCCTCTCCTCACCTCTGCCCGTGCCATGCCCCGGCGCCAAACGTGCTTCTCCCCACCAGCCGTGGTGCCCACAGACCTGCTGGAGCAGTTGCCCGTCAGCTTTGAGATTAAAAAGTCAGAGGGCAAGCAGTGCAAGAAGGGCTTCACTCGCATCAAAGTCAAGGGCGAGCTCAAGCTGAGCTCAGCCACGCCCCGCTACGATCTTGGCTTTGCTTTCCACGTACCTGGCGAAGAACTCTGTGAATGGGGCAATGCCGTCGAAGTGCGCGATCTCAACGTCAACGACGGTGCTTTCGCCTCCATCGGCGCCTCGCTCACGCCGCCTTACCTAGCCCTGGCCGATACCACCTTCTTTGATCTTGACGGCGACGGTTGTAGTGATGCCGTTGGACCAGGTCTTTTTGATGTCAAGCTGAAAAAGAAGATCGAAGTGCCGTGCAACGAGTGGGGAGGCGTTGACGCCGTCAACTTGTGCATCCTCTGGAATGAAGATGCTGACCGAGAATGTTCCAAGACAAAACATGTCTTGAAAAAGGCACAGACTGGGTTTTGCTTTCCCATCAACGTTACGGTCGAAGGCGAGGTAGCACCCATCACCACCCCGCCACCCAGCACCCCACAGCCGCCGACCCCATCCACCACTACCGCCCAACCGCCCGTCACCACAACGGCTCCCACCACGACACAGGCGCTGCCCAGCACTACCCTGGCTCAGATGGCATCTTGTGCCCACCGCGGTTGCGATGCTCCCTACACCGGATCTTGTCAATGTGACCCATACTGCCGCCTCATCGGTGATTGCTGTGCCGACTACGGGCCTGTCTGCGAGGCTGCACCCACGCCGACCACCACCAGTGAAAGTACCAGCACCCCTATTCACACCACCATGGCCGACACCACAACCACCACAACGACCACAACTGTCGAGCCTAGCACAGCAACGACAACCACCATCGAGGCCACGACTACCACCGAAGCCCCGACGACTACTACCACCACGACTACTACCACCACGACTACTTCCGAACCCTCCACCACTACCATCACCACGACGACCGAACCCGCGACTACTACGACGACAACGACGACGACTACTACTACCACTACTACTTCCGAACCCACGACTACTACCACGACTACTACCACCACGACTACTACCACTACCACCACGACCACGACCACTACCACTACCACAACGACTACTACAACCACAACCACCACAGCTACCACGACTACCACGACTACCACCACGACTACCACCACGACTACCACCACAACTACCCCTATCAACTGGGCTTTGTGTAGTCCCAGTTGTAATGAGAGCTATGTGGATGGTCGCCCATGCCAATGCGACCCACAATGTCACATCATCGGCGACTGCTGCGCCAACTACGTGGACATTTGCCTGGCCATTCATACGACCCTCCCTGAAAGCAGCACCACCACGCGTCCACCTACCACGACCACTACACCCGTACTGGTGACCACCACTGGCTCAGCAGCCACCACCACCACCACCATCTACATGACGACTACCGTTCCCAGTGCCCTATCATGCGCCAACCGGTGCCATGAAGGCTACTTTCGTGATGACGCTTGTCACTGTGATGACCAATGCTGGAACCTGAATGACTGCTGTGCTGATTACGAGGCTGCATGCATGGCGTCCGAGGACACAACGACGACGACTACGGCAGTGCCAACATCTGGTGCAGCTGCCACGCCCTCTGGTGAGCCCGCCACGACGACAGCCGCGACGACCACGACCACGACGACCACAACAACAACTACGACCACAACCACGACGTACGATTACGCAAACTCGTGCATTGGGCGCTGTGGGCAGTACCAGGCTAGCAAGAGCTGCCAGTGCGACGCACAGTGCGTGTTGATGGGGGATTGTTGCTTTGATGTGGACGCGGCATGTAACCCAGATGTTGAAGAGCCCGGGGACGAGGATGACTACGACGGTATTAACGTGACCCTCACCGGTGATTCTCGCATCTTCAACATCAAGCGCATTGGCGGCGGGCCCATGATCACGCCCGAGACATTTAGCGAGGACCATTACGTGTCTGACTCGATCGCTGGCAACATCAACGGCCCCTCCCTGATCAAGGTGCCATCGTGGATCCCAAATCCCCTCGGCAAGTACTATCTGTACTTTTCGCATCACCGTGGCCAGTACATTCGCCTGGCCTACGCGGATCGCATAGCCGGTCCATACACCATCTACGGGCCCGGCGTGTTTCCCGTCGAGGACTCGGCAGGAGCAGATCACGTTGCTTCGCCGGATCTCATCATTGACGAGGAGAACCAGGTGTTGCGTATGTATTACCACGCCGAGACGACGCCCTACAACACGACGCAGCAGACCTGGGTGGCAATGAGCACGGATGGACTAAGCTTCACAACCTTGCCACAACACCTGGGCCGACCCTACTTTCGCGTCTTCACCTACAAGGATAACTACTATGCCATCTCCAAGGACTACTATCGTGGTGGCATGGTGCAAGCAGACCTCTCGGGGAACGGTCTGGAGGAGTTTGCCTACGGCCAAGCCTGCATCAACAACATGCGTCACTTTGCTGTGTGGCGGGATGGCGATGCCCTGTTTCTCTTTTATTCGCGCGTTGGTGATGCGCCTGAATGCATTTACATGACGCGTATCGACCTGACCGTGCCGTGGAACCAGTGGAGCTGTAGCAAGGGCAAGCTACTGATTCGCCCGGAGTATGACTACGAGGGCGTCAACTATCCGATTCGTAGCTCGGTCGGAGGGGTGGCATACTCGCCCGTCCACGAGCTACGTGACCCGGGCATTTATGTTGAAGACGGCCGGGTGTATGTTTTTTATTCCATCCAGGGCGAGAAGGGACTGGCTCTGGCTGAGCTGACGTGGGAGGAGGGACCCGATGACGATGACTCGTCGTTGTAAACCTGTTTCGTGTTTGCGGTGCCAGCCGCTCTGGTTGACGGCAAACAGGAAACGTTTGTTGGTCCTATTATCGATTTTTATATTTTGTTCGTCTTCGCGGTCTATCCTCGTGTGTGCTTGGCCGCGAGGCCGACACACTGCCACACAGCAACGATGCCGTTGGGCATGGCTGTGAGCCGCGCTCGAAAATTTACTACTATTGATCCACATCGTATCTCTTATCTCTAATCTCTTTTTCTTTTCCATGTGTGTCTGTGCGTTTGTGTGTATGGTCGCCGTCAGTGCTTGCTTGTGCTCATGGGGCATCAGGTGGGGGGAAATATTGAATCCGGATCCTGGGTTAAAGAGGCTGGGCGCTAGGGGGTTGGTGGCGACTGATGCTGCTGAAGGTGTGCCATGATGGCAGCTCCCGCCACGGATACGTTGAGGCTATCAACCAATTGGAAATGATGGGGTTGGATGCGGGGGGGTAGTCCGGTCAGAATGGGGCATACGTCTTTGGTGGCGGCGCGCAAGCCAAAGCCTTCATTGCCCAAAACCAAGGCGAAGGGGTCAGTGGGGCAGGCGCTCAAGGGGTGCCAGCGCTCATCCTGCATGTCCAAGCAGGCGCCGATGGGGGTCGCATTGAAGGGGGGAGTGCGGAGGTGTTGGAGCGTTCCAGCAAGGGCCTTGGAGGTGATGGCGACAGGCAGAAGCTCGAGGGCGCCGGCGCTGGCGCGGCTCACGGTGGGACTGAGCGTCGAGCAGTTGGGCCCCAATATGCAACCATCCAGGCCAAAGAAGAGGGCGGAGCGGAGGAGGGCACCAACATTCATGGGATCTTGAACTGCATCCAGCACGAGGATGCGAAGGCCCGACTCGTTCTTCTGCCAGTTCATCAGTTCCTTGTTGCGGGGCTGTGGCACGCGCAGCGTGCTGCACACGAGAGCAGCATGCTCAGCATGGTGGCCTGGGGGTTTCAGGGCGGGGTCCAGCGCGTGCACAGTGCGCACGGTCACCTGTGCCTGATCCGCCGCATGGCGCAGCTGACGGGCAAGACGGGATAGGGAGCCGCGAGGCAGACGAGAAGAGAAAGGGGTTGAGGGACCGCCGCGTGGTGTCGTGTTGCTCGCGGGGTGTCAAGGACGCTGTGCAGCGGGCGGCATGCCAGGGGTGTCACGTACCGACTTTTCCAGTGCGCCAGGAATGGTCCGCGAGATGATCAGTTGGTCAAGCTTGCGACGGCGCAAGCCATGCGCTGCATCGTACAGTGCGGCCCGCACTACCGACACACCATGCAGCGTCTCCTGCGTCGCAGCCTTGACGGCTCTTACCGCCGCCATCCCCACTCTGTGTGTGTGTGCGCGCGTGAGTGAGTGAGTGTGTGTGTGTGTGTGTGTGTGTGTGTGTGTGTGTGTGTGTGTGTGTGTGGAAAGCTGAGAGGAAGGGAGCAGAGGAGGAGGAGGCAGAGGAGGAGGAGGCGGAGGAGGACGATGAGAGCAGAAGCACGAGCAGAAGGGGGGCGGGGGCGGGGGGATGAGAGGGCAGAGCAAGCGTTTAAAGCTTGATGAAGGACGAAAGGCAAGGTGTGAAAATTTTGTTTACAAGCAGTTGTCTCTCTCTCTCTCGCTACATCTGTCTCTCTTCTGATTTCATGATTTTAATCCATGTCTCTGTTTTCTCTTTGAATTTCTTACTGTATGATGCTGTGTGTGTGTACGTGTCTCTCTCTCTCTGTGTGCATTTTTCTTCTCTCTGTCTCTGTCTCTGTCTCTGTCTCTGTCTCTGTCTCTCTCTCTCTGGGCGCGCGCCGAGTTTGCTTGTAAAAAGGGGGTGCTGTCACGATGGCGTCCGAGAGGTTGACGGCGGCCATGAGCGCGTTGGAAGCGTCGCTGGATGATTTTTCTGCGTTTTGTTTGAAGAAGGGAATTGAGGTGACGGATGGGATCAAGTACATGCCCATGACTGACGCGCCGCCAGCTTCGACGCCGGCCTCGCCGCAGCAATTGCCGCCCAGTGCAGCCACGACCCGTCCGCCGCTCAGGCAGCAAGGCAGCCGGGAAGCAGCCGGGCCCAGCCCACTTAGCAGCCCCCTTGGCAAAGTGCGCACCAACCGCACTGCATCCTTGGCGCAGCTGCCTTCATTTGCCTCGTCATCTCCCACGGAGCAGCGTTCTCGTCCAGGCTATCGCTCCAAATCCGTCTCTGCCTCACCAGGCGAAGGGGGCAGTGTCACGCCGAACCGCAAAAATGCCATTGCAACACGCCTTGTCGAGTCTTCCCCTGCGCATTCTTCCCCGTATGTTGGGCCCATGGCTCCCACCCCGATTTACTTGGCTTTGTATGATGCCTCAATCTCATCCCAGGCCTATCCGACCACCCCCTTCTCGTGTTTTCTTTCCGTTTCTCTAGCGCCAGTCCAGGCACCGGCCTGGTGTCGCTTCGTCTTCTTGAGAAGGCTTGTCCAGAGTTTCACAGCATTGATCGCCATGTAGGTGCTACCCCAGTTCCTCTCTACACCCGCTGCTTCTCTATATTCACACCTGCGTGCTTGTCTTGTGTTACCCTCACCCTCACCTACTTTATTTTGTTCTTCCGTTCAGACGGCTGGAGAAATGCTGAAGAAGCGGGGTCGGGGCTCGTACCTCTTTCGTTGCAGCTCAATACCGGGCACCATCGCCCTCTCCTGTTTCAGTACGCAGGGCGAGCTCACACACATCAACATTGTCGTCTCAAACGATCCCGTTATCTTTACGGTCCGTGCTCCTGCTCAGTTCGCCACCATCCCACCCATGGGCCCAGACGGCCTGGGCTCCTCTCATTGCACAGCTACCCACTCTGTACAGGTGAGCGAAGGAGATCATCATGCAAGTTACCGGAGTTTGTCCAACCTGCTCGAGTGCCTGCGAAAGTCCAACCCCCACTACGAGCTCAAAACCCCCATCAGTCGTGAAGCGTGAAAGCAATAATTACACACACGCGCATGTCATTATGACCCGTGCATGCTCATCCATCTATTTGTTGTTTAAGTCTCATTTCCCACTGTATATTATATTTCGAGCACCTCGTGGACAGTATTGGGGAGCCCAACCAGTCGTTTGTGGCATCTTTGTCTCCTCGTGTTCTGCCCGGAGAGGGATTTCTGTCTCTTTTGTTTTCTTGTGGCCTTATCCATGCCCTGTCGTCGGTGACCGCCGTTGGCGTTGCCAAAGTGAAGAAGAAAAATCGAGAAAAAGGTTGAGGTGCTGTTACGTTTTGAGGCTCAAAGCCATTTTCAATAGCGAGCGGGCTCAAATGGCCCGGGACTGAATGTAGGGCAATGCACACTCAAGCACATTACAGCTCATCATGGGCATGGCGGAGGTCGGCCGTGGCCTTGGTTGCTGCAGCTGCCGCACCTTGACCCGCCAGACGACCGAAGACCACACATTCGAGCAAAGAATTACCGGCCAGGCGATTCGCACCGTGCACGCCCGAAGACACCTCACCCGCGGCAAAGACGCCGTCAATGGTTTGGTTGTGAGTGTCAAGCAGTTGGCCTTCTGGCGAAACGCGCAAGCCTCCCATGGTGTAGTGAACCACAGGCTTGATGCGAGCCACAAAGAGGGGATGGTCCCCAAAGCTGACGGCCATGTTGTAGTTCACGGGAAAGGTCTGCTTCTCAAAGGCATCGGCAAAGTCATGTTCTGCCGCTCGGTTGTAAGCTTCGATGGTGTCACGCACAATGCGTTCTTCCACATGGATGGGATATTGTCGTTCCTGGTTTACCCCGTTAATGTACTCGGCCAGCCCGGTTGTGCCGCTGACCTCGGTGAAGAACTTTTTCACCTTGCTATAGAAGGAAAAGGCAGATGGCCCAAACTTCTTGATCGCGGCCTTGTTCATGACCAAAAAGGCTTCGGCGTCCGTGGGCCGCTGTTCGTGGACGGGCGTGGCAGGGTCATCCAGGTTTTCAGAGTCCGTGTCGTACGAAGCGTAGCGCCAGATGCTGCCGGTGACCGTATCACGGGGCGCCAGCTCATCCACAAAACGATGCCCCATGTTGTTCAGCAGCAGTGCTCCAGCACCGCGCAAGGCTTCAGGAGCCAGGAAGAGGGTTCGCGCCGCTGGATTGGTAGGGTCCACAAACCCAGTCGGATGAACTTGAACCTAGCAAGCCCGAGGATGGGCAGGTGAGTTGAAGCAAAGAGGGAGAAGAAGCTGATGGTGAGGAGAAGAAGGTGGCTTCAACTGGAGACACAAGGGCGCCACGCGGCGGGCAAGTCGTGCTACCCAGACGTTAGAGCGAGCGCTACCTTGTCCAAATGCTCGGTCATGCCACCGAGAGACAAACCCAGGTCCAAGCCTTCGCCCTGGGCCCAGGGGCCGTTGGTTGTGGCCAGATCCTCGAGCCAGGGGGCATGTTCGTGTAATTTGCTGGCCGAGCTACTGTAGCCTCCCGTGGCAAGAACGACGGCATCTGCCAGAAGGGGTGTGGCCTGGGCCATTCGTGCGGTACTTTCCCCAACTGCCGTCTCGATGTTGACTTGAAATTGGCCACGTCCCATTGCAGCACCGTTTGACTCTGTGGGCATGGCATGAGCACGCGAAAGCCCTGCGACGCGACTGGAAGTGGCAATGTGAACCAGGCCAAGCTGTGCGAGTGTCTCCACGTGTCCACGCAGGGCTGCCACGATGTCAAAGCCAACGGGCTTGGGGCGGCCCTCTGGGGTGTTAGCTTCGCGATGGGTGCGCGCAAAGGAGTGGCCGCCGAGCTGAGAGAGAACGTCGAGCTGCACGCCAAAGGACTCGACAAAGTCGACGGCCTCGCCCGAGTGCTGGGCCAGCACATCAACCAGAGCCTCATTGCAAAGCCCACGCCCAGCACGCAATGTATCGTTGACGAAGGTCTGTACGGAGTCTTGGCTCTCTGCCAAACGCTGGGCCCGCGAGTGCACACCATTCATGCCACTAGATGGCCACGCAATTTCTTGTGAGATCCAATGACTGGCATGCTTGGGGTGGGCGGGGGGAGCGGTTGCAAAGCTTTTTTTTTTTTTTTACACGATTGACACACCTGGTGGCTTTGGCCGAGTTGCCGCCAATGCGCGCTTCCTTCTCAACCAAAGTGACACGAGCGCCATTGCGCTGTGCTTCAATTGTCGCCGCCAAACCCGCCAATCCGCCGCCAATGACAGCGACATGGGCCTGAGGCACGATGGTGCTGCTGCTGCTGGCCGCACCGGCAGCGGCCGTAAAGGAGCTCATGGCAAGAAGGCTTGCAAGCAGCACGGGCGATGGGTACATGGCCCCTGCGAGCCTCCAGCCAGTTGCAGCAGTCCGTTCTGCTGCCGCAGCTCCCAGTCTGGTACCCAGATGCCGAATCATTGGCGGCACCACAGTCATGACGAGCTGACAGCAGCCTGGGTAGCGCGCACACCACCAATGAGCACACGGCAGAGATGACAGGCATTGAGCTTTATCAAAGCCAACCACAAGACGAGCAAAGCTTCAAACACAAGCACTCCGCGACCAACGATCCCCATCCCGTCCAACAGACGGTGTGCCATGGCCCACCCGACCCGAGCCCAGTGGCCCTGGTGCAATGACTTACTCAGAAAGGAATTAGAGAGAGAGTGTGTGTGAGGGAGAAAAAGAGAGAGAGAGAGAGAAGAAGAGAGAGAAGAGAGAGAGAGAAAAGAGAGAGAGAGAGAGAGAGAGAGAGAGAGAGAGAGAAAAGAGAGAGAGAGAGAGAGAGAGAGAGAGAGAGAGAGAGAGGGAAGAGAGAGGAGAGAAGAGAGAGAAGAGAGAGGGAAAAGAGAATTTGAATTGGTTTGAGAGAGAGAAAGAGAGAGCGTGAGAGAGTTTGAGAGGGAGGGTGTGAGAGTTCTAACGAGAGGTTGAGAGAGAAGACAGAGCTCATCAATGGCTTATGTCTTGCGTGGCAGATGATGATAGAGCATGCAACCGCGCACGGGTGAGTAAAGATTGTGAAAAGGCTTTGATTTGATGCACGGCCTGCAGGTTACAGTTCGCGGCATTGGCACATCAAGAAACAACAACAACAGCAGCAGTAACGACAGCAGCTAACCCTAGCAGCAACGACAACAGCAGCAGCCTTAACGTTGGCACTCTGCCGTTGTGTGCTACTAGTCGGAATCATCCGAGTCATCCAAGTACTCGAGGGGAATGACCACATCACCCTATCATGAACGTGCGACCAAACACAATGTGAGGCAGGGTGGCAGGCGTGTCAGGCTTGCTTGGTATGACAACTGCAGGCTCACCTCCACGTGCTCGGTGGGCTCTTCGGCATTGGGTTCTTCTTCCTGCTTGACTCCCGTGTCGTGGGTGTTTTGCATGGCCTCCAGTGGTGCCGCTGTCGGCTCGGGTGCCTTTGCAGGCCCAGAAGCCGTGGCTAGACAAGCACAGAGTATGAGGGAGGACAAATGGCCAGGACTCGACACCAAGCACAAGACACGGCCAAGCAACGCTGACGCACGATTGGGCATCGGTGTCTCCTCTTCCTGTTCGACTTCTTCAGCAAGACGGCGAAGCAGGTCCTCGTTTGGTAATTGGGTGACGGCTGAGCTGGCATCAGAAAGTGCATCGCTATCGCTGAGTGCTGGCTCGGGCTTGACACGCTTGGATGGCGGCCCACCTGGTGCATGGGCATGTGCGTCCGCGTGTGGATGAGTACATTCGTGAGTCAGGAAGGCAACCTGACGGACTGTCAGGGGCAGCGCACCTTCATCATCACCAGCAGCCTGCTCTGCCGTGCGAGCGGCGGCCTTGGACACTGATGGTTCTAATGAGAATCAAGGAGCACGGTAAAACAGTCCATTTAAAAAAGTCCATTTGCACTTTGACGCACGCATTCAAAAGATGTCAAAGCACAGGGGACGTACCTTCATCCTTGGCGGTGGTTTTGCCAGTATCTTGATCCTTGGGCTTGGTGGCTTTGACGGGTGGAACACCAGCAAATTCCACGAGCTTGCCAGCCTTGAGCTGGAGCTCTGTAGGGAAGGGTCGCTCGTGTCGACCCGCTGCAGATGGAGGCGAGTAGATGGTGAGGATATGCGCATTGTGCGGCAGCATGCGGCACAATGTGCTGGCACGATCAAGCGATCAAGGGAAAAAATAAAAAAAAAAAAGCACGTACCGTAGTTCCAGCCAAACGGTGCATTGATGCTACGCGCCATTGCAAGTCGATAGGCGTAATCCACAACTTGCTCGGGTGGCAAGGCAGCTAAATAACGTCGAAATGCGTCAGAGTATGGTCACCAAAGCTGCAAAAAGGCTCCAGAGAAGCCCTACCACGCAGGGCGTCAAAAGGGCGTACCAGACATGGCATGATTAGCGTCTTCCAACTTCTTGTCCGCTTGATCCATGAGAGTTTCCTGCAGCCATGGCGATTGTTGGCCGAAGCACGAAGGCAGAATGGTACGTGGAAAGGTATGAGTCAAGACGGACGTAGCCAGGTTGCGGAAAAGCAGCGGGCCAGGGTGCGAGGCAAAACGGTTCTCGTATTGTGATGGACCAAACGCATGGGCGAAGTCTTACAATCTGCAGGGCCGAGGCTTGCAGCTCAGCCACCAGCCGCGAGGAGCGCTGCTTGAGCTCGGCCAAACGGGTTTTGCGTTTCTGCAGTTGAGTGCAAGCCAGGTCCGAATATATCATGACGACCTTGCTTGAACGCTGTTTGGTTTCCTCATTGTGGCAGCAACCTGGCCTCGACTCACCTCGATGCGCGTGCGCATGGCTGTAATTGCGTCGACGTGTCGGGCGGCTTGGGTTAGCTCTGTCTGCTTGCTCAAAAGTTCCTCGACAGCCTAGAACATGGCACGTTGCGCAGGCGGTATCAGCGTGTCGCTTTCACGTAAAGCGAGGAGGTGCTTCTTACCATCTTGACGGCTTCCTGGTTGCTCTCGTCCACATCAGTGGCCAGAGGACGGCTGGCTGCGACCAGTGAGCTGGGGACCGATCAGAAGGAGCAGCAGCACACTGTTGAGAAGGGGCATACCACTTGCTTGCCCGGCTGTCCCAGAGAAAAAAAGGACATACCTCAGACTAGTTTCAAAGCCTTCAAAGGCTTCTCGCAGCTGTCGCACCGCCATTCTGCCCCAGCGCTCGGCCCTCCCCCTGCCTCTGCCGTTTTTCCAGGCGCTCGTCCGGGCGATGCAAAGTACCAAATGTCATTCAGTCAGAGCATTCATCCGTCTGACATTTTAGATTTGACATGTGAATTGGTTTGGTCGGTTTGAAGAGAGAGAAGAAACTTCTCAAGGCTTTTGCCAATGAGGCAGCGCTTGAGGGAGGGACACTTACAACATATGGATGCATGTAAAACCTCCTCGGGGTGGCGCCGGCCGAGAAAAGGATAGGCGGCGAGTTGCTTCACGTCGCATTGGTGGCAATGTTCATGGCAATTCTTGAATAGGGGGACAAACAAACAATAAACAATAAAAGGGGCACGCAGTGCCAGCACTTGATGGTTTGCTGGGGTTATAGCAAGTGAAAAAGAGAATGTGTTCTGCACTGGTCTTCGTATGGTAGGCACAATCCAGAGGCGACGCGGGCAGATGGCGTGGTGTGCTTAGGCAACCATGAGACGGACTCCGGACTGGACCTCGAATCCATCATGATCGGCGCTCCAGGCGAGCCAGCCCACAGCTCCAGCAGGGGGTCGTCCAGGATTTGTCGAGGGCAGAACCAGCAGGTCGGCCTCGGGAGATTCGGCGCGCAAGGTTACAACCCACGCCTCGTGCGTATGCCGATAGAGTAGCCAGAGCCAAACTGCCATTGCAGGCATGGCCTCGTTGGCCGGAAGCTGGCCCCTGGGCAAGGTAGCACGGCATGTCATTTCAACAGTAAGGAGGCAGCAAGGGATGCGGGACGCGTGTTAACGAGCTGTCATGCACCTACTTGGCCACAAAGACCGGGTCTTGGTTGTCAACGACCAAGATGAGTTCGAAGCGCTCGTCCACAACAACTAGGTCAGCTGGACAGCCGCCCAGCTTTAAGTGGCGGGCACAGGTGGCTACAGCGGCCAGTGACATGAGATGAGTCATCGGGACAAGCCTGAGCCATGGTCGTCAAAGTGAACCCTCGACTTACCCGAGGCGACGCTTTGCTCTGCTGCAGAGCGACGCTGAGCCGCAGTTTCGGGCGCCAGGCTAAGTGGATATATGGCATCAGCGGTGGTCAGCTTCGGCACTCGCCAGATACAAGGGTGGTAAAGCCAGACGCATCAAGGTGCAGGGGAGCAGATAGACATACGTGGTCGGCTCAGCAAGAGCTTCATCCAACTCAGTGACGGCGCGTGCGATGCGTTCCATGTGAGAACACGCCTCGAGCTCTGCAGCACTGCCTTGACCCATCCATAGCACGCCCTCAATGCCGCCTCGTGCTTCCTCCTGTGTTTCATCTTGTGCTGCCTGTCGTGCTTCCTCTTGTGCTTCCTCCTCGTTGATACGGACCATCATGGCCGAAGCCAAGCGATTTGATTTGATGGGACGCAGCGCCGGTGCGCGAGGCATGGTAGGCGCAGCCCCCGTGTCGGTTATCTCTTTGGATTCACCTGACCACTCGAGCTCGCCAACCTCGTCCATGATCTGCGCTGTGAGAAGACGCCCGCCATTGATTCGTCCCGTGCTGCTGGCTGGCTGGAGATGGAGGGTGGTGCGCTGCGCAGAGCGAGGGCGGGTGGCATTGGCATAGGCATAGGCGCGTGCAACACGACGGCGCCACTCGCGAATTTCATCGGGAACCAGCTACGCAGTCAAAAGAAGGCGACCCATGAGCGCCTTGGCTTGGCATTTCTTGCAACGGGGTAGGGTTTGAAGTCGAAAACGCATGACGCGCAGCAAGTTCACGACAAACCTGCATGACGGTAAACATCATGGGGCCATGTCCGTTGTTGCGAATGAACGAGACCACGGCCTGGTGTGGTGCCTCTGACATGTCTGAACCATTGATCTGGATGATCACGTCACCGGACCTAAGGCGTCCCAGCGAGGGTCAAAACCAAAATGATAAGCGCAGCCTGCAGGTGGTTCAGTTTGACTTGTGTTTGGAAAAGATGGGGCAACAGGGCGGGGGGCGAGCAAGCAGACCTTAGACCCGAGTTGTGAGCGTGCCCGCTGGGGTCCACATGAAGCACGACGGGATGCGACCCTGTGGAGCGCACGTGAGGTAAATGAAGGTGCGTGAACGCTAAAGTCGCGAGACTCAAAGGTAGGTGGCGACGAGGACCTACCCATAAGCTCAAACTGATAACCCTCCCTTTTTGGGGGGCGTACAATGACCTGGCGCATGTCCATGGCTCTGGATCCAAACGGCCCTTGGCCGAGGTAATGTGCTGGTATGACGGGTGCGGGCGCGTGCACGTGTGTGTCCAGAGAAACACAGCGATAGAGCTGAATAGATGGATATATAGGGAGCGTTCAGCAGAGGGACAGAGAGACGGGGCGTTGCGACAGAGACCAGCTCGGATGAAAATCGAGGTGTGTGTGTGTGTGTGTGTGTGTGTGTGTGTGTGTGTTGAACAATGACATGAGAGAGAGAGGAACGACAAAAGGAGAGACCGCACAATACCGAGGATGACCTCGACGAGAAGGTGGGTGGACGCTCGCGTTGGATTTGAGATATGGAACAGATAATCAAAGTCATGTGCAAGGGGTACAGACATGCGGGCATGGTATGTGCGTCGGGCAGGTGAGCCCCGGCGCTGCCGTAAGTAGCGACGGGGGCCAGCACTAAGGGTGAGAGTTTTCACACGACGCTTCCCTTTCAAAATTCATGCCTAACCTGTCGATACAGGAAATGTTACATCCGGATATATGTTCAGAACACGTGTTCAACTCGAATTAGCACTTCACCTTGTTGCGCGCGCTGGAAGTATGGGAGGTTCTAATCTAAATGTGGGATTTATGGTATTGATTCTGACATCATGGGTCGAGTTTTCTCTTTGATTGATTGGGTAACGATGGAACCTGTGGGCACTTCACCCATAATGATAGTTTCGAGACCGTGGTCTGATCCAAGCAAGGGTATTGGGTTGGCGGGCAGGAGTGAAAAACATTCCTTCACATGTCCAGAGTCTTGAAATAAAAGGAGAAAAAAAGCTAAACGCTCCCACGCATGTGTAGGTATGCGTGTGAGAGAGAAAGTGGTGGTGGTGATGGTTGTCAATGCGCGCGGGTCATTTAGCCTTGGGCACGGCACGTTGCGCTGGGTTGTCTTGCGGTGCCTCACTGGTCCGTCTGTCGTCGGGGCTGTCGCCGGGGCTGTCGCCGGAGCTGTCGCCGGGGCTCAAGAGGTCGGTTTGTGTTCCTTTGCTCGCTTGCTCGGTGCTAGGGCGAGAGGAGGGAAGGTAAAAAAAAAAAAAAAAAAAAAAAAAAAAGAGAAAGAAAGAGGAAGGGTCGGCCGTTGGTGCTTGTGGTCGCTTTGTCGTTGCTTGCCTGCGAGCGGCCAGCACCTCTTCTCGTGCTCGGCCCTTGACCTCCGAGTGCCTGTGTATGGCGTATCCCGGCACTGGCCGCTCGTTCTCTTGCTTGCAGTTATGAGACAGTTGCCTCGGCTTGTTCTGTAACAGCTTTCTCTCTCTCTTTCTCTCTCTCTCTCTGTGTGTGTGTGTGTGTGTGTGCGTGTGTGGGCGGTCGCGTTTTGGAGTCTCGACGGCTGGCTGGCGCTCACCATGGTTTGCACTGGCTGGTTTCAGGTGTGAGGCGCTTGCGCGCACCTATGGGCGGCACCACACGTGACGTCGAGCAGCAGCCCGCACGGCGCGTAAGATAACAAGATCAAACATAAGAGCACACACTCAACTGCTTTTTCAGACCGACGCCATGGTGTCATCACATGCAGGCAGGATGCTTGTCTTCCTCGCCATGCTCGCATCTTCAAGCCTGCTTCCGGCTTCTTCTGCTTCGCATGCGGGTCTCAGCCAAGACCAGCGTGGCCTTGATCAGGAAAACAGCTTCAAGAGCCTTCGGCTTGCCCTGCCAGGCTTGCTTGAGCCCCTCAGTGTCGAGGAGTTCACGCGAGACTACTACCACAACCAGCACGTCGTCTCCGCAGCGACAAATTCGAGCGTCCCGCTGCTGGTCAAACCAGGCTTGACCCATGCAGCTCTGGCTGAAGCTCTCTTGCAACCCATTTTAAATCGCAGCGAGGATGCCTTGCTTCGGCTGTTTAACGAAGGCGTCTTTGTTCTTCGCAACGCGAACAGCACCATTGTGTCCTCTGAAGACTTGACAACCGCTAGCCTGCGCCAGCACCTTTTATATGACGGCTACAGTCTAGTCTACTTCTACGAGCGCCATCGCGAGGAAGACCTCTACGAGCGGAAAGAGACGATAGCCGATGTCATTGCCTCTCTCGCTCTTCTCGAGCCCACCTTTCATTACTATCTAAGCGGTCCCAATGCCAAAGCCCTCCCGCCCCATACTGATCGCAACGAGTAAGTTCGGGCTAGGTTTATTCAAATCTGAGTAAAACACGGACCAGACTACTTTTTTTTTTTTTTTTTTTTTTATAAAGTCCAAGCTCACATGTTGCCTACCACAGCATTTTTTCCTTTCAGCTCGCGGGCACCAAACACTGGACCATTTGCACCAACCCACCACCGGACACCTCCTGGACCCCAGCCGAATGGGCTCAACAGGAAGAGAACGAGGCTTCGAGAACTGAAGGTCCGCACGCTCGATTGTTTTATCGAGTCATCGTGAGCTTCCACGCCTCGTATCTCGAGACCCACCCCTCATTTTTCTTGAAAAGGGTGTCGCAACCCCAGTCCTATCGAAGTCACCAAGATGCAGTGTGAACACCACGTCGTGCACCCTGGCGATTGGATCTATCTGCCAAAAGGTTGGTCTTGGGCTAGGTTCAATCACTCGTCTCTGCATTGTGAGAGCAACCATGGCCTCATTCTCACGCTTCTCCTTTTCTGTTCATTACAGGCACAGTACATTTTGCTCAAACAAATGACGAAATGTCGCTGCACGCTACCGTGGGATTTAGGCCTAGTTTCTCATGGCTCAACCGCTTGACAGCCCTATGCGAACAAGCGGATACCTTGCCGATCACTTGCTCCGAGCTTAGCACTACACTCACTAACCTTCAGACCCAACGGCCGTACCTTTGGCTCGCCACGCTGGCCGTCCCTTTATACTCTCGTCAGAGTGCGCGGGCTACGACCTTTTCAGAGACCCTCATGGCTTTGCAACTTACAACGGCGACGCGCATCTCGGCATTGCAAAAGGCGGTCATCTCACCAAGTGACATCCCCCGCAGTTCAGCATACAAGAGTCAAGAAGATTGGCGCCTCGCCTTGACACAGCTTCGCGCCTCGCTGGACGACACTCTTCTTCCGGTCCTGGAGCCTAAGGTTGCGGCGACAGCCGTAGTCAACTCAAACCTTGCCCGTTCTCGCCGATACTTTTCTTGCTCTACATCAGGAAAAACCTGCCAAGACTGTTCAGCTGCAAGCTGTGCTTGGGACAGGAGTTGCGACGAAAGTGAGTCTGCTTGGAATCGTATGAAGCATACTCACATGCTAAACCTCACACCTGGCCTCTCGACTAGACTGTGACGAGAGCTGCTCTTTTGGAGTGGCGTGCGATGATAGTTGCGATTCCGCTTGTGATGAGGTCTGAGAACTGTCTTGTGCTTATCATGCGTCTGCTTCAACAAAGAGCTTTTGTTTGCTCATGCGATCGATATTGTCGGGCTATCATAGTGTGTTTGTGATAGCACGTGCTCTGCCCACCCGGGCTATTACAACCCCTCCGGGTCGGACTGCGCATCCTGTCCACTGGGTAAATATGCTTCAAGTACTGCCTATCGCACGGATTGTTATACGTGCAACACAGGTGAGGCCATGGTATTGGTGCCAATGTGCTGTTCAACGGGTGTCAAGTCGAGCCCTTGTTTTAACCACAGCTTTGCTCTTTCGTAGGCAGATACTCGGACATTGAAGGAGCAACCTCGTCAGTGGTCGTGCAAGGGCTCTTCGACGTATCGTTTCAACTACCGTGTTGTGCCGATCCTGTTTCAACTTATACCTGTTTTGTAAAACGTGCATCCTCCTCCCCGCAAAAACTCTAATCGGTTGTAGTTGCAAGTATTGCTCAGCCGGCAAATACACAAATAATTATGGATCTAGTTATTGTTCGGTGCGAGGCTTGGTATTCATTCCTCGCCGTTTTAAATGCTGCAGCGCTGCTCATACGCCTTTTTTTGTCTTCGCTTTGGCAGAACGCCCCAGCAGGAACTTTTGTCAGCGGTACTGGCGCTTCTAGTTATCAATCGTGCCCGGCTGGCACTTACTCGAACGAGGGAGCGACCTCTTGCTCAAACTGCTTGTATAATAGCTATAATGACCAAAGCGGACGGCCCAATTGGTACGCGAGTCGTTGCAGCATCTGCAAAAGACGGCAGTGCGCCTTTGCTTTCTGTCAACTCACCCTAGCTATTGCGTAACAACGGGTGGACGCACCCGTGCCTTAGTAAGACTTGTGGAACCAACGGGTTGATGCCTTTTGCGCGTTCGACTATAGCCTGCTGGACCTCGTAAGTACAGCTCCCCGCATGCCACCTGCAACATATCGGCTCGGCTCACTACTGCCGGTGTCACGCGCACTAGCTATGGCGACCCCGAAAACGGCTGGTGTCATTTCGCTGGGCAGACATGCAATTGCGTGGCTTCACATCGCAATCAAGGGTCGTTGAAAGTGTACTTTGACAATAACAATGGCCACTGTAACCGCATTACTACGGATCCATCAATCTACGGCATCACGTTGACAATGTTTGGAAAGTCTGCCTACAGTGTCTCTACCCAGCCCTGTCTGGCGCATTCTTGCCCAAATACAGATGTGCAACGGAGTCACACACCAGATCAGTTTCTCACACCCGCCCTCAGCAATCTTGACAAGGTACGACAGAGGGTACTTGTAATCAATCCGATCAGTAGTGATGTGAATGATTCACCTTCCACACCTGTCATGCTTTCTTTGGCACAGACCATGGCGCTTGACGTGTCATACAGCTACCGTATCTCCAACGACGCGTACATCTTGCGACACACCGTGGAAGATGCAAATCAGAATGCAGAAGATCAGGATCAAGGCCGGGGCGGCCTCATCTGGCCCTCAACGCGTCTTCGCTTTTCAAGCACGGAGACAGCAGGTTTTGACCTCAGTTTGAGCGGGTCAACTTGCAACAAGGGCGAGAGCAGCCCGAATTCGGCAATGTCATGCAGTGCCTCGCAGTCCATTGTCGTCAAGCATGGCCTCAAGTATCGCTTCTCGTTCTTTGCGTCCAATCAAGGGTACTGGAACTACGTTCGACCGTCCGATATCCGCAACAAGCTTGAAAACATGCGTGATAGTGAGCGAGACACTTACACTGTGCGAAGAAATAACCTCTCTGGCAAGACCCGTCACATGACCTATACGGCCGAGCTGGACTATGTTGCTCCGTGGCATTGTAGCGTCGAACCTTCGCTCGCCCAAAGAAGTGGAGCAACGCCGCTCAATGCCGAGAAGAATGCACGGAACGATGGTGGTTGCTCCGGTCGCTCCAGCGCAACGCAAGCGCTGCTTTTTTCAGCCAACAAGCGCTTTGTCAGCTCCGTCTCGAGTCTTTGCTCTTGGACAAGCACTGGATGGCGTGCGGTGGGTCACCAGATTTCGACGATGACGCTCACAGCCTTCTCGGCCACCAAAGTGGGCAACGCCATGAGTGCCCGCAGAAGCGCCAGCCAAGCTTCTACCAGCCTTAACATCTATGCACACGCGGCAAATGACAAAAGTTTTGGCCTCAGCACCAGCGCCATGAATACCCTACTTGGTGGCTCGGACATTATGCCCGTCATTACCGAGTTGACCGTTGCCGATGCCGGCTCTGTTAACATCATGTTGGCCCGACGTGTCCCCGTATACTTCAACCCCAATGTGCCCATGGTCGAGCTCGATTGCACCGTCAACTGTGTTACCATGGTGGATACAGCCGGAACCGATGTTAGTACAGAGCAAAATGATCATCATCACTACACGAGTCAAACTGGCTCGAGCTTGCGCGCCTATATTGACCGCACCATCTTCAGCAGTCCCAAAGTGGCCGGTCTGGAGATGCAGCTGGAAGAGCAGCCAGCATTCGTTGATACGCCTTCCTGGAGCGGTAGCGCATACGATCTCGATCGCGATGCCCTCGTCTTTGAAACCTGGCAAGGAATCGACCGCTTCAAGGGCCAAATTACGCGTTTGCGCAAGTGGGACGGTACTGGATCGCAGGTGGCAGGCGGCTGGCAAGATCTGGCGCATAGCCCAGATCATACCTTTTCCATGAGTCTGGTGTCGGGCTATGAGTACATGGTGGCTTTTGAGGCCTGGACACCGATTGCTGTCGAGCACAACATGGTGACAGGGACGGCGAAGCGTGCCAATCAAGTGGGCATGACAAACAAGAGGTTTCGCGTGGATCACTCTCCTCCCGTCGGTGACACGCCCGATGTGGTGTTGGACTTTGGCGGAACCATCACGGTGCTGGAGGAATTTTTGGCTGCCGATGCAGAAGTTAGTGGCGCTCTCAAGGACCTGCCCGCCGTCCAGGCGCGTGGGACCATGCCCTTGTTCTTCATCATTGACCACGACCTGCGTCATGTCGAGCTTACCTTTAGCTTGCTGGACGAAGAGAGTGGCCTTCGGACCGTTGACGTGCGCACATATCAACTTGACCTGCACTCCACTGCTGCACAACTGGTGCACGAGCGTGCCGCTGGCATCACTCGCTTTGTACGCAACGCCGATACGTCTGCGTCCTGCGACACGAGTAGCGCATTTTTGTGGTATGCGTCCACGCGAGATCGCGACGTCACTCGGGCAGCCCACGAAAGCTCAGGCTGCCGATGCACAGCGTACGATCCCGCGGGCAACTTTGACCACTGCTACCGTCAGCACATGTACCTCGATGGCAACAACCATTACTCACGCGACTACACGCCCGTGCCAGCTGCTCAGCTTTACTTGGTCCAGGTGGTGGGTGAGAATCATGCGGGCATCACAACCACGCTCGAAGCGATGCTTCGCGTCGACGCAACCCCACCCGATGTAACGCACGCACACGTGCAAGATAGTGCTTCCCTTGGGCAGCTCGACATTGATTTCATGCAAGTGGGCACGGGCAACCAGGTGACCCTTCACGCAAGCTTTACCGGTTTCGTGGACGCAGAGAGTGAAGTGCGAGACTACTTTATTGCTTTCACCGACAAGTGCCTTACTCTTGAGGACTATTGTGGCAAGAATAACATTGATCCAGCTCATGGAAACGCCTGTTACTTGTCACCTGTGGACGAGGCGCAGTGGCTCGCCGCGGCGCCTGTTCGTGCGCTCTTCCAGGCCAACGTGCACAGTCAGACAGTCATGGTGGATAGCAACACGAAGCGCATCTACGCAAATGTTATGGCCCAGAACAACGCCCTGTTGTACTCGGCCATCCAATGCTCGGACGGCGTGGGCTTTGACCGTACCCCTCCGACCGCCTCCAATCTGGCCGTCACGGGCGCGGCCATTCGCCCAGGCATCGTGACCTCTCATGACGGCTCTGCTCAGTATTACATCTCCAAGTGGGGTGTGCTACAGCCTTTGCCGCAAGCATGTGATGGCAACTTTCCAGCGCTTTCTCGGAACTTTGCTACGGTCATGGCTGGGAGTGACGTTTTTTTCAAAGGCACTGACGGTCGCCTTGATGTACCTCGGGGCTTTGCCACTGGCCGCAACGCCACCGCCTTGCCTGCTGAAGCTCTGGCCTGCGCGCAGCTGACACCCGCAGTCTTGGTTTACAACGGCTCTTTGGAACATTTGGTGGCCTCGTGGAACGCAGAAGATGCCGACAGTGGTATCTGGCGCAGCACCATCTCTGTCTTGAGCGCGGACGGTAGCACCGAGGCCAGCGTCGCAACGCGCAACAACTACTTGGAAACCTCTGCGCTAGCCTTGGAGGGCCTGGACGAGGTCACGTTCAAAGTTGAGGTTACCAATCAGGTGGGCTTGAGCACGGTGATCGACGTGGGACCATTTATTACGGACCACACCAAGCCCGTGCACAATGCCAACCCACTGACCACGGTGACAAACGATAATGATATTGTCATTACAAACTTTAATCAACTCTTCCTGGATGCTGAAACAAAGCTGTGCCGTTTTGATATTGCCATTGGTAAGATTTTCGATGCATCTCGTCCGCAGAGTGTACACGGTAATGGCTAGCTCAGAGAGAGCGCACTTTGTCTCATGGCTGTTTTCTGTCTAGATTATGATGGTGGTTTCATGGAGAGGACAGTGGTCACGCCAGACCCCGATTCTTGCTTGGGTGAGGTGCCGGCAACCTACACAATATCACCGCCACGCACGACGAATGCCACCAATGTTGTCTATGCCCTCCGTGTAACAGCCTTCAACGCGGTCGGCATGCGCAATCAAGCCTCGGTGTCAGTGGAGCTTGTATACGCTCCACCTTCGCTGTCCGTAATCTGGGACGTACTAGAGGTGGCCGACAAGGCCGACATCGACTACATCCCGGAGACAGTACATTTGGGTGCCTCGTGGCCGAGCGTGGCGGGTGCCAGTCTGCTGCAGGTGTCGCTAATTGCCTCGCCGGCAGGTGGGCATGGTTCTGACCCCACGGTGGTTGGGCAGGGCACACAGACGGTGGTTGACTGGGTCGTGCTGCCTGGGTCAAGCACGGGGTACGTCTTCTCTTCCTTCTCACTTGTCGCCGGTCGTCACTATCGCACGGTTTTGCGTGCATCCAATACGGCGGGATCGAAGGAAATTACGACCAACGGCGCCTACGTGACTCCAGTCAATACCAAGCCGAGTATTGATTTCCATCTGGGCCGTACCTGCAACCAAACGACTGCCAGTTTCAAATGCGTGGCTAAAGAGTGTGCCACCGCCTTTGCCCTTGTATCAGACTCCACGTCCTTGGGTGATCAGCTGTTTACCTTTCAGCACACTGTTCCCGTTGAACCAAGTCGATACTACACCTTGAGCGTCACGGCGACTAGCCAATTGTCAGCCAACGACCAGCTGCAAGTGTCTGTGTATGCAGCTCGCGCGGGTGCTCTGCCCGACGCCTTGCTGGGTGCTGCCGGCGTGAGTACTACAACCAGTGCTGAGATGGAATTTCAGGCCCTGAGCACCCATCTGCTCATTTCCATTCAAAGCACGTCCGCACACATTCTGGAGCTTCTAGCTCCTGTACAGCTCAAAGCCTGCCGTGCCTTGGGTCACACTGGGGCTAGTGCGCATGACGTTTGGAGCGCACCCACGGTGACACCGGCCAGCATAGGCACCTTGGTTGACGAGGTGCGCTGGATGCCTGTGCTGACGAGTGGGCTTGGTGGAAACGATGCCCCTGATCAGGCTCTTGTTGAGCAAGCGGGACTGACCGAATGGCAGCATGGTACCCATGTGGCCGTGGCTGAATCAATGGCAGGAAACGAGATTCGCGTGGCTGCCCAAGCCTGCTTCCCCGAACCCGGAGGCTGCATGCAGCCGGTTTTAAGTGAGGCGTTGGTCTTGCCTGCTGAGGCCGAAGCTGTCGTGGCGGCAGCCGCATGCAACGTTGCGACTACGGATGATCGTGCAGACGATTATCTTTTCTCGCTTGTGTGGGAGCGCTTTGACACAGTAGACGGTGAGTACTGGTATTTGGTGAAAAGGCATATGTGAGGGAGGATTGGGAGTCCGGCCATGATTTTGACCAGAACTTGACCTGTTCGCTTTATACCCTGCTGTAGCCAATTCCAAGGCCGTCAGCGTCTACGAAACGAGCCTTGTCGATGACCAAGGGTAAGGAAATCACACCCCACTTGCTGCTTTTTGTTTGATTGTCAATTCACGACCCCTCACCACCATGCTGCACGCACTTACACATAGGCACTTGGCTGTGGCGGGGACATGGACTTGGCCGACAAGTCAGACACTGCGTCCCCGTCTGGAGCTGAATGATACACACATGAAGACCACCGTTCCTCTCAAAGCCGTCAACTTTATGCACCTTCTGCACGAGGCCACCAGTCTGCAAGCTGCCATTCGCCTCTGGACACCCGATGGCCTTGCCAAAGAAACCATGGTCACCTGCAGCGTGCCTGAAGACCCTCTCACGCCAGTCGTTGCGGTGCGTCATTGGACGTTGAATGCTGATTATATTTGATATCCTAGATCTCATCAGATGCTGGCTCTTGGTCCATGTTGATAGGTTGCTTGGGCCGATGTCTCTCAAAACCCCGCGCTGCAAGAATTGCCCACCAAACGTCATCATACGACCACCGATCTTGATCACTTTGCGGCGTTCTGGCCTCGACGCTGGCGAGCATTTGAACGCCTGGGCTTGGAGAACATTGTGTATGGCTGGGACCTATCCAGCGTATCTAACGATGCCGGTACTACCACGATGCTCAGCCGAGGCAATACGACGGCCCAATACGCTTTGGTTCAAGGCTTGCGCTTGAGCGACGGCATGGTTATCCGCTTCTGCGTGTCCATCCTCGAGGCGACACCCCAATCCCCGGCATGGCGGTATTGCGCGCATGACGTCAAAGTGGATTTATCACCGCCACACATCAGCAGCCTGCAGGTGTCTCATCCCCACGCCAGCCGTGAGGTGGGCCACGGCACGGAGGCGCTGCAACTTCATTGGCACGTCAACACCTCCGATGTTGCCGACCTCAACATTTTGGTTGGCTATCAAGCGGGCCGTGGCGACATTGCTGCGGTATACGACGTAAAGCCAGCAAGCTCCGCTCTTCTCTTGCAAGGCCTGAATCTTCGTAGTGGCCTGCCCATTTACGCCACATTACAGGCCATTGACTTTGCAGGCAACACGGCTTCCCTAACCGGCTCTCCAATTCTTGTGGACACAACGCCGCCTTATTTCGTGGGGAACCTGGAAGGCGAGATGGATCCTATGGGTGACGGGGTAGGTGAGCTTGGCTACCTGCTTCGCGTCGACTTTGATCTGTTTGAAGACGACGAGAGCTCGGTGGTGAAGCACACCTTGGCCCTGGGCAGCAGTGCCGGTGCATCAAATATCCGAGATGCAAGCACAGCCACAGCCAGTCCCTGGGACTTGCGAGTGCCTCTGCATCACCATGGCGCCGATATCTTTGCCACCCTGTGCGCAACCAACGAAGCTGGTCTCTCCGCATGCGTGTCAGAGCTCTTGGTGACGCTGGACGCCACGCCACCGACAGTGGACAGATCGAAACTGTCAGCAACGGTCAGTTGCGTGGAAGGTCGTCACCACCGGTTGCGTCTCGGCTTGGACTGGACCGGGGCTTTTGAGGAACCAGACTCTGCCATTCTGGAATACCAAGTGTTGGTAGGTGACAGGCTGGGAGATGGCAGCATTTTTCATGACATGTTAACGCGCAAAGCCATCAGCGTCGAGGTTGCCCACGGTCTGGTGGATGGTGAGCACCTGCGCGTGACCGTGTACGCTACCAACACCGACCAGCAGCGGAGCCAGCCGCTAACCTCTTCACTGCTCGTGGATTGCTCGGCACCTTTGCCGGGTGCGGTCGAGGCCTACAACGCTGAGGGCCTACCTTACCATTCAAGCCGCAGCAGCTTCCGCGCCAGTCTAGCGGGCTTTATTGACCCTCATAGTGGAATTGCACAGGTGCAGTATTGTCTGTCAACAACGGTCGATGCGTGCAACGCTTTGGACTGGACAACGGCAGTCCACCACACCGAAATTCACCACCGGTTTGGAAGCCACGTTCTGCAATCTGGGACCCGCTACTTTGTCCGCGTGCGTGTGACCAATGGGATGGGCCAAACAACCGAGGGGGTCAGCGCCAGTTTTGGTGTTGACACGACGGCACCCACCGTCAGCGGCTTTGCTTGGCAGCACCCGATCACGCGGACCTCCGTGTCGGCACAGTACTTGCGCTCTGTGCTGCTAGCCGATTGGACCTCGACAGACGTGGGTGGCGCCGGCGTGCGCTACCACGAAGTGGAGGTGGCGGTTCATCACGACGAGGAAGGCGGTGAGCTTGCTGTTGTGAGCGAGCTGGAGTACGATGCCAGTCTAAGTGTGCTCAACCTCACGCTGCAGCATGGTGAGGTATACTTTCCGCGCATCTCAAGCTGTGACGGCGCAGGCAACTGTCAGACCCAGGACTTGGTTTCCTTGGCCGTGGACGCAACTCCACCGCTAGCCATCAAGCTTCATCACAACGGTGTTTGGAGCGCCATTGCCGGCGGCAAGTGGCGATACACAGTGAAGGTGTCCGCTCCCATCGACGAGGAGGGCACGGACATTACGCGCTTCTACGTCAAAGTGGGCGACCAGGCGCCGGAGACTTTTACAAGCTATAGCTCAAGCGGGTGCGCTATGATGCATGCTGTGCAGTTGAGCAAACATGATGTTGGGGACCACAGCTTTTGCGATCGAATAACAATCATGTGATGCGCCTGTTGTGGTCTAGGTTTGTTGTGGATGTGCCTCAGGCAATGGGAGAAGTGTCGCTCCTTTCTTTCACCTCGGTAAACTCCTCGCATTCTACTAATGGCCGATAAAGGTATTTGTATGCTCACTTGATTTGGTGCCTTTGCAGGAAAACGCTGTTGGACTGCGGCATACACAATCCTTCTTGATACAACGACACGAAGGGGGAGTGCTAGCCCCACGTTACGGCTGCTGGCGCTGGCAATATTGCCAGGACTTTGTTGTCGGTTCAGGGACCTGTAGCTGTCCCAATGGACTGGATGACGTGGTATATGACTCGAGCGTTGATGCAGGCGCATTTTCTCTTGTCGTTGAAGACGGCCTGGTTCTTGGCGAAGATTGGGATGAACAACCTTACACATTCACCCTGGGTGCTCACTGGACAGCAACTTCAACGCCGTTGCGCTACGAGGTTGCCTTCGCTTGTGGCGGCCATGTCGAAACGTGGCTGGATGCTGGTCACTTTACAGAGTACGTGCACACGTTGGAGCCGGATGCCGAAGCATTTTCAAATGGAATCGAGTGTTTTGCCTACGTACGTGCATGGCGCACCTACAACCAGTTTGTGGTGGCGCGCAGCGATGGCGTCACCATCCGCCACGAGTGGCTGCGGGTCAATCAGCAAGCCGCACTGCTGGATGGCTACAAGCTACCCGTGCCCGGCTTTGGTACCGATGACAAGTTGTTCCCCAAGCCCTTTCATGACATCGGTACGCTGAAAGCCGAGTTTCTGCTTGTCTGGATGGCACATGTGCACCCATTTCGAACATCTCATGTTGCGGTGTTTATTGCAGACGACCAGCAAAGCACCAGCGAATTGGCCACGACGTTTGCGTGGTCAGAGCAAGGCTCTTCCGTCGTGGTAAGTCATGGGTGTTTTTGAAGTCGCTCCACGAGCCGTGAGTCAGCTAACGCCTTTTGTGGCTGTATGCATAACAGGTGACTGGCTCAGTCGTGGCATTGAGCGATCTTGACAACGTTGCTACCTATGAGGTTGGGTTTGGTACAACACCGGGAGAGCAGGATGTGTTGGCTTGGACTCTGGCTTCTGCTTCGACGGGCGCCCTGCGCAGCACGGGGCTGAGCCTGGCTCATGGACAGCGGTATGTCCTGATTGAATGTGAGCAGTGCAGTGAGTGCAGTGAAACTGCACGATAAATCTCACGTCGGCATGCTGCTCATGGTTCATAGGTACTATAGTGCGGTGCGCGTTGAAACCAAGTTTCGTCACACGCTCGAGGTACGTTGTAGGCTTAAAAGAGGCGCTGCAGTTTGTGTGCACTAGCGTCTCACCACGACGACCATTTGTTGCTGGCGGGCTCTTGGATCCCAGGTCGTGAGTGATGGCGTGATGGTGGACGACACTCCGCCATTGGTCGGAGTGGTGTACTTTGGTCCGCGTGGAGGGTATCTTCCGGCGACAAGTGTGAAGGAGAATGTGAGCATTCGCTTCGAGGGCTTTGTGGACCCTGAAAGTGCTCTGGCCGAGTATGTTGTGGCCTTGGCTCGCGTGAACAACGGTGTCGTAGATGAAGCAAGCGCCGTTTTTTCATCGACAGGTCTCTATCCCAATGCGACGCTCTCCCTGGCCGACGCTGTGCCGGGCGCCTCCTACGTTGCCTTGGTCAAGGCAATCAACAGCGCCGGCCTGACATCAGCAGCAGCTGTCTCCGAACCCCTCATGCTGGACGAGGAAGGTCCCCAGTTTTTGCGCGTGCTGCGTGTGCCTCTGAGCGACAGTCAAACCGGTGCCTTGGACAGCCAATTGACGGCGACTGGCACGACTACGCAAGGCAATGCCGTTCACGAGTTTTCCGTTGACTCGCCCGACATTCTTGGAACCTCACTGAGTGGCACGCGCATGACTCTGACGCCCGGTGCCCCGGTGGAGCTGACCATGACCCTAACGTTGGGGCAACAGGCATGGCCAACACGCGTTGCCATCAGCTTTGACATTGTCTGCGCAGGGGGCGCGCCACGCACGCTTCTGCGCATTTTCGGCTCTGTTTCCAACGCAGTCAATGGTGATGTGCATCATGTTGCATCCTGTGAAGGCTTTCGGCAGCAAATAGAACGCTGGGTTGAAGTTGAAGCTGTGGGCCAGGACATTATTGTAGAGCTTGAGGTCACGTTGCTCCACGCAGACATGGATGCCACGCTCTTGGTCGGCAGCACGCGTGTCCATGAGGTGGCGGAGCTCAACTCTGATGCACGCACACTACCCAGCGTCACTGTGCAAGGCCGAACATTTGCCGTTTTGCACGGCAGCGGTGCCGATTCTGCGGGAACAACGTGTCAGTCTGCGCCAATGACCGTGCCCACAGGCTGGCGCGTGGCCACAGGTTATGATCCAACCGTTCGCGACGCTGCACGCCAATACAATTGGGGCACAGCATATCTTGCGACGAGTTCCGGTGTGGCGTACGCCACGGCACAGGCATCTGACCCTGCTCCCGTAGCGAGCAACGTCCACGTCACAAATGGTGGTGCACATGTCGTGGCTGCCGACTGCGCAAGTCATGGCATGGGTATTTTACTGGAGGCTGGCTCGGGTGCAGTCCAGGTGGATCAGCCCTACCACCGAGGTGCTGACGAACTGCAGGCGCACTGGGTTATAGCTGATGCCGCCAGTGGCATCCGACGTGTGTTGGCAGGTGCTGGCAGCCAGCCTGAGGTACCCGTGTACCTCCCACTGCGACCAGCCGATAGCATTGACTCGTTGAACTTGCACATAAACGAGCGTGCACCTGAGCACGGTCACCAGGTTGCCGTAATCGTAGAGGCTCAGGATTGGGCTGGACTGCGGGTTCGCGCCACCAATGACAAGGTGGTAGCCATTGTTGACGAGTCAGACCCAGAGGTGACAGCAGTGCAAATTGCGCCCACCACAGAAAGTGGCATTGTGGCTGGAGCCTCTCACGTCAACGTTACCTACCATGCGACAGACCCGCAATCAGGTATCCTCCGTTGCCACGTCTCGGTGCTGGCTCCCGACAACAACAACCAGTTGCACGGTGAAACAGTCGTGCACTTTGAGCAATCGAGTGTATTGGTGCCCATGACGACGCCGCTCGAGGCCGATGACGTGGTTCATGCACGTGTTGCTTGTGTTAACGGGGCTGGTTTGATGGAGAAAGTGACTTCGGCATCTGTTTTTGTTACATCATCGGATATGGCGTTAATTACAGCGGAGCCATACGCTCTTGCTCCTGCAGCGGCTACAAAGTTGTTCTCTGGCACCTGGGTGGTCCAGGGCGAGGAAGCCTTGTTACTACACTTGACAGGACCAAACGAGCGCCTGCTAGCTGCTATGGATCGCGATACTGAAACGGACATTGGTCTTGAGACGCTTGTCCAACGTGTTGACGGCCACCTTGCCAGCTGTCAGGCCGGGCCTTTGACAGCATGTCCCTACTCTGATGGTCGTACTCGTCTGCCCGCTTGTCCATCCGGCAGCGTTGCCCGTGAAACCTCAATCTGCTGGTACCAGCATGGCCGTGCCACCAGCTTCCGAATCAGCAATAATGATGCTGTCAACTCGAACCAGCTTCTGCCCGGGGTGGTATATCAGGTACGTAAAATTCTGGAAGGTTTCTTCTTTTGTTTCAATGCTGAGAACCACTCGTTCTCATGAGCTTTCTTGCATCGTGTGATGATAGGTCACAACGCGGGTCCGCGTGGAAAGTCAGGTTCAAGAGTTGGCCACCGCCGAGGTCGTTCTTGATCGCACACCACCCATCATTGCGGCCGGTAAGTCACTTGTTTTACAGCAACGGCTGGATGTTCAGCTGAGATTACTCGTTGATTCGTTGCCTCACAATGATCCATCTGGTATGCCCCTTGTCCTTTTTTGTGTAGTACCCCAACTTGTGAGTGCAGGATACCCAGAGGTGACGGTCAATCTGCATGGTGTTTGCCAAGAAGACGTACTGCCCAATGAGCTGGGACACTTTGTCATCTTTGGTGATGGCGCGCGTGCTGGATCCCTGGACTTGACGGACTGGGCTTTGGTGGAATCGGCGGACCTCTCTAGCTCGACCCACGTCATTGATGTAGAATCTCTTGCGCAGCTCCAAATAGCCGTGCGCTGTGTCAATGCTGCAGGCATGACGTCGCTGACCAGTGAGATGTTTGAGATCACGTGGGAGGCATAACCCACGGTGGCTTTGATTGGTCATTTTTCTTGTGACGCTTTAGTTCGATGTATCTGCGTTTGTATCTGTGCAAATTATTTTAATCCCTATGTCGCTGTCACCATGTGTCTTCATGTCAATGATTATCTTCGTCATGAATCGACTATCAAATGCGCAGCTCAACCACAAGGCGGCGTCCAGCAAAGCACGGAAAGGTTACCAATTTATGTCCACAGAGTGGCACATACTGACAAAGCTGGCAGGCGTGGAGGTTGATATTCAAAAAAGTGAAACCTCAAAGGGACAGACCTGCGTGCAGCAAGTGGTCCAAAAGCACGTGGTCATCCAATCGTCTCGGGTCAGCAGCACACAGGTGCAAGCGACCGTGGGCACGCAAACAGATCCCGAGGTTGAAGCCTGCCTTGATGCCAACGATGACATTGACGACGTCATCGCCGAGCTGTAGGTAGGCGTAATTGAGGAAGCCTTGTTCACGCCAGTCATGGTGTCGCAAGCTATGGATCGTCGGCTGCGCAAAAGGCGCTAGCTCAGGTTTAAGAGTGCCGCCGAGAAGCCGGCGGGCGACGATCGGCCCTCAATTCCTCAATCTATTTCAACGCATTTGACTGTGATACGAACATCATGACACATCACAAAAGATCATGCCAGCGTTGACCGAGACAGCATGGATAGACAGCGTCGAGGCAGCTGCTGCGTTGTGCAGCAAAGAAATTACGCCATTGTGCTCATCACGCTCGCCGGCCAGTTGGGCATTTGAGAAAAGGTTTTGGTGAAAGCGCCAGGCACGCTCGCGATGATAGGCGTCTTGTGCCTTTTTTTGCCCTTTTAGTGCTCGCGCTTGCTCCGCTTCTCCTTGCGCGAGCCGGAGCGAGTTTGATGCGGCTCAAGATCCTCGTGACGGGGATGATGGTGCTGACTGTTTTTGGCTGCCCTTGCGGTGGCGCTGACCACCAAGTCTTGAGGACGCTTCCAACAAAGAATACAAGGTAGTGTAAAAGCAAGCACCAGGTCCATGATGAAAGCGGGCAATGTTTGTGTGACTTCCCCCGAGCTCGGCGTGCTTACCCAGTTCTGATTGGCTTGGACGATCTGCTAGGCCCTGAACGTGAGTTGAGTGGGGAATAGGTTTGATATAGCCGGAGGGGTTGGATTGGGGTGGCCAACGGGCTTGGGATGCTTTTCAGCGTTCATGGCAGGCAAAAAGGCAGTCCAAGTGTACGCACAAGTTCCAGTTTGCCGGCGCTTCGCAATCTGCTCGCATGACCGTTTTAACTTTTTTTCTCAGAGCGAACCAAAAAAAAAAAAAAAAAAGTTTTAACATGTGTGTTTGTTCTTTTGCATTTTCCTTCTTCGTCGGCTGATGCCGTTTGCCATTTTGCTTTGGACCTCTTGTTCCTGTTTTCCCTCTTTGGCATCGGTCTCGATATCGGCATCGGCGGGTTACTCGACGTGTCTTGCTTGTGTGCGTGGTGACTGATTGCTTGCGCTTGTTACGGGACTCTCCTGGTCGGAGACTTGTGGCAACGTCAAAACGTCTGGTTGAAAGCATTGCTGCCACTTTTTTTTTTTTTTTCCGTGGTGTGAATGACACTGATGTCGACTGTGGGGCGACAACGTGCACTGGGCAAACAAGCACACCTGTCCTCGCAACTGTCACCGAGAACTGTTGGCCAAAGGTAAGTCGTTTGTTGCATTAGGCAGAGAAAAGGCCAAGGCCCGCGGACCGGCTGCCGTTTGCGCGTCTGTCAAACCCCAGTCCGAATTTTTCTCAGACGAGTTTTACTTGGAGGGGGCTCATGAGATTGGTGGTGGCTAGAGCGGTTTGAAGCGGATGGTGAATAGAGAGATACCGTTACCATGAGTGATGATGGAGAGCAGCTGTACGAGGTGTGTGGGTCATCAAATCCACAAGGGGCGCTTCGGTGGTTGATAACACTTTGGATGTGTCACTGAATGGGGTGTTATGATATAACATGGACATGGACACATACTGCATGTTTGCATCGTCCCACAGGATGACTGGGCACCACTGCACTGGGCTTGCTCAAAGGGTCATGACGAGGTGGTGAAGATGCTGTTGATGCACGGTGTTGATACTGAAGCCAAAGACAGCGTCAGTAAAGTTCCTCCCTCTTCCCCACTTCACCTGTCCCTATGGTGCATTTGTACCACATGATGATGCTGATGCTGATGATGATGCTATACCTGTACGTCATGCTGATGCATCATCCCACAGAAAGGCAATGCACCACTGCACTGGGCTTGCTCAAAGGGTCATGACAAGGTGGTGAAGATGCTGTTGAAGCACGGTGTTGATACTGAAGCCAAGGACAACGTCAGTAAAGAACCTCCCTCCTCTCCCCTTTACCCCCTATGATGATGCACCTGTAACCCATGATGATGATGATGATGATGATGTACCTGTACGTCATGCTCACAGGTTGGCGATACACCACTGCACTGGGCCTGCCAAACCGGTCAAGACAAGGTGGTGGAGGTGCTGTTGAAGCACGGTGTTGATACTAAAGCCAAGAACATCGTCAGTACAGTTCCTCCCTCTTCCCCCCCCCGCCTGCCCCCTCCCTGTATGATGGTGCATTTGTACCACATGATGATGCTGATGCTGATGATGATGCTATACCTGTACGTCATGCTGATGCATCATCCCACAGAAAGGCAATGCACCACTGCACTGGGCTTGCTCAAAGGGTCATGACAAGGTGGTGAAGATGCTGTTGAAGCACGGTGTTGATACTGAAGCCAAGGACAACGTCAGTAAAGAACCTCCCTCCTCTCCCCTTTACCCCCTATGATGATGCACCTGTAACCCATGATGATGATGATGATGATGATGTACCTGTACGTCATGCTCACAGGTTGGCGATACACCACTGCACTGGGCCTGCCAAACCGGTCAAGACAAGGTGGTGGAGGTGCTGTTGAAGCACGGTGTTGATACTAAAGCCAAGAACATCGTCAGTACAGTACCCCCCCTCTTGCCACCCCCCCGCCGCCCCCCCCCGTGTATGATGGTACACCTGTACCACATGATGATGATGTTGATGCTTTGATGTCTGATGCACCTGTTCGTCATGCTGATGCATCATCCCACAGATTGGCTGGGGACCACTGCACTGGGCTTGCTTAGAGGGTCGTGACAAGGTGGTGGAGATGCTGTTGAAGCACGGTGTTGATATTGAAACCAAGGACAACGTCAGTACAGTACCTCCCTCTCCCCCCTTTTACCCTACCCCCGCTATGATGCTACTCCTGGACCACATGACGATGATGGTGCTGCTGTACCTGTACGTCATGCTGATGCATCATCCCACAGATTAGCGAGACACCACTGCACGTGGCCTGCGTTGGGGGTTATGTCAAGGTGGTGGGAATGCTGTTGAAGCACGGTGCTGATGCTAAAGCCAAGGTCGACGTTAGTACAGTACCTCCTCTTTGCCTCCTTTACCCCCTATGATGCTACACATAATCATTATAATAGTGCTGATGCTGTACCTGTATCTAAAAGCTAAGGACATCGTCAGTACAGTACCACCCTCTTCCTCCCTCCCCTCTGGCTCTGCTGCTGCTGCTGCTGCTGGTCGCCTTTGTCCCGTTCCTATCTCTTCTACACCTTGCCTACCGTGCGCGTCCGTTTTGCTCATCGCTCCTTGTCTTCTCTCCCGCTATCCCTTTTCTTCCCCCGTTCTCCGTCCGCTCCTTGTCGGTGCTCCTGCCCCCCGCTTTGTTCCGCTGTATCCTTAGCCCGCTTCCCTTTTCCGATGTTGTGACTTCAAACCGAGAAATACCCCATCCCTTGTCATCGCATCTTTGCCTCTCTAGCGCGCTCAAACCCTTTTCAGTGCCATTTCTTCAAATTCACCCCGACGCTCCACTCCGCCCCTTGAGAAAAATGCAAACAGGCCTCATGTTTCCGAACATTGATTATCCTATATAGAGCGGTCGAACGCCACTCCATGCAACCTGCAGGGTCGTCTCTGCTAGCCGAAAGGTTGCTCAGCAGCTCTTGAGTCACGGCGCCGACCCGGATGTGAGAGATCTTGTAAGCCTTTTAACCACGATGACGTACTTTGCTGCTCTTCTGCTACACCTGCGATTTATACGTGATGGGCTGCTGTGGCAGGCGGGTGCACGGCCCTTGGATTTGCACCTTCACAGGGATCCCATCCAGCTGCAGGTGGGCCTATTTTTATTTTCGGTATCAATTGCAGAGGAAAGCTTGCTTATGGATGAATCTGCTTCACTTTATAGCTCGTTGCAGATCTATTGCGCGCAACCCGTACCCCTTGCTCCTACCAAACTTCAAATGTCAATGGTGCGAACTTGATTTCCATGTCATCGTTCGCATTGTCTTGTTCTCATCGGATTTCAATGTGGCGCCAGTCCAAGGCTTGGTTCATGCGGAGCAGGTCAGACGCTGGCGGTGCGCTGCTGCTGTTTTCTGTAGCGTCGGCTGGCGCGTGGATCCTCAATTGTTCAATTTCCAAGATCTACAAACCCTGTGTGACCACGTGGCCGCTCTAGCGTTTGCCGCTCAAGCTGCACCTACGAATTGAAATGCGTGACGCTTGTGGTTGGCTTTATTTTATTTCCTCAAAAAGAGTGGTTCATGTGTAATTCCTGCATCAGAGCGAGTCTTCCAGGCAATGCTCGCGTCTACTGTGACCAGACGCGCTGGGAGACTAACATGCATGAAGATCGCCATACAGTGCCTGTGTGCGGCTGGATCAAGAGGCGCTTTGAAGAGAAGTGATCAACGCGAGGGAAGGCATCGACAACCAATGCCTCGACAGTCGTCAAGGTATCAAGGCATAGTTGGAAGAAGTGATGAAACTCAGGGTTGCCAAAATAATTCTGCGAGAACGACGGGCGTCGATACACTGCTCCAATGATTGCCTGAACGGCTTATGCTGATGGTGATGCCACGACACTCCGGCTAACCCAATGAGAAAAACCAAGAGCAAGCACAAATATGAGAAACACAAGAAGGAGGGCAAGAAGCACCATTATTGTAAGCACGCTTCGCACTCGCACTCGTCAGACCAATCGACCAACTTCTCAACTGGCCGACGAGCGTGATGCGCGCGATCACATGGCTGCTGCTCCTCGACTCCGGAATCAAAGTGATATCTTCCCGTACCGGCTCGTTCGATACTGTATTCAGACTTTGGGATGCATCATGTAGCCCTAACGTTATTCATTGAGGAATGACAATGCGGTTTACCGTCATCAATTCCATGGTTCTTGTCAAACCGAGGAATAATTGACTGACTTTAGGTCTCTATTGTAAAGCACCATAACCGCGCAAAAGTTGTCGCACCATCAACCATTACCAAACGTTGTCACAACCACATTTTACACTCTGTGCGTTTCTCCTCCCACTGTCCGCCGAGCCCGCCAGCGCTTCAAACTAAGCCCACACATCACCCAAGTATGCCAGAGGCACAAGACATGTTGTGCTTCCAGTGCGATCAGACCTTTCATAATCGTGCTGCAAGAGATCAACATGTTGCTCTGGTGTGTTGGATCATCTCGCTCCTCGATCGCCCCTCATGCAAAAAAAAACAGAATAATAACATCATTCTTGAGCTAGAACTCGCATCGTCATCCTCGAGTGTTCACGCCTGATTTTCCTTACCTCCATAGGTCCATCAGAAGAGCACACGCATCAAGCTGTATGGAAGGTCACTGCTTCGATACCGAGAAGATGACGGCTGCTTTCATTGCCCAGTGGAAGGTTGCCATTACCGCCATGGACACGCAGCCAACCTTAAATCACACCTTTGGCATCTGCATGAGAAACAGAGGGCACCTGTAGCAGCAATGCCGGCTGCAAGTGACGACCGCCCGCCTGCTCGCCAAACACTTGCTCGGACCCACACAAAGCCAGCTCGGACGCGCACGAAAAAACGTGTGGTCAAGCTTGATCAACAGCACGGCATTGCCGCGGCGCGAATTTTCATGGACGAGATTGGGTGCCTTGTATCCCCCGTCTTTGAGTCTCCAGTGTGCACGCAGTGCGGCCATGTCCTGAGAGGCCGGGTGACGCATCATCTGTTCAAAAAGCACCATGTGCGGTGCAGCCAAGAAGACATTGATGCAGCCATGGCACTCCTGCGCCCGCTGCAGCCCGAGGAGCCGCCGATCGACCTTGGGGCAGAATCAGAGCCGCGTACGCCTATCGAAGGCATCCCCATTCTGGACGGTGTGGGTTGCCCCTTGTGTCAGGCATGCTTCACGACAAAAGGCAGTCTGTGGAATCACATCGTAGCTGAGCATCCCGACGAACCAGAGGCCAAGCAGCCGCCTCGACGAGTCAAGCTGCAAAAGCCGCTGCGTGGTGTTGGGGCCCGCTGTGTCGAGGTCATTGTGGAGGAAAGCCACGACGCCTCGGCAGCCGATGTGAGCGAAAACGAGGAGGAGCTCGAGGAGCAGCAGCGGTTCAAGCAGTTTATCTCAAGCGCCCAGGCCATGGCCTCAGAGGCCGAGGAGAAGCGCTGCCCGCACGGCGTTCACCAGATGCATCCGTTCTACGATGGTGTGGGCATGACGCTGATCATCAACGAGCTGAAGCCAGAGCGCATGGTCGAACTGGGCCACAACACCCCGTCAGCACTCCTTGAGTCGGGCATGCACGAGCTGTTCTGGTCGGCCTACGAGCAGCTATCGGATCAGGGCCTGGCCGCCGCTGCGGTGACGCGTCTGTTTGACGACAATGAAGGGCAGTATCAGCATCGCCCCATGCGGCAAGTACAGCCGCAAACCGTCAGCAGGTACCTGAGTCTTGGAACACGCCTGGTCCAATTTTTGCTGCTGCTGGAGGCCATGCCAGCCCCCGATCCGTCGAGCTTCCTGGGCCAGGTGCTTGCCAGCCGTGGCTCTGCAGTAATTGATGCCACCGTGGCTCTGAGGGCGGGCCTGGACGCTGAAATGACCAAGAAAGAGCTGGTTGAGCCCCTCACATCCCTGTGGCTGGCCCTGGTGGAGGTGGAGCTGAGCCTCTTTGACAACGACAAGGTGCACTTTGTCAACGTCTTCTTATTGTGCACGGCCATGTCCAAAGGAAGCGGCATCCTGCAAGACATCAGGCAGTGGACCACGACGCCCGCTGGACTGCTGTACGTTTTCAAATTGTTTCTGCTTCGCCGTGGCAAGAATGAGTCGTGGTCAGTGGCCAACGAGCTCAGGCCGTATATGCAGCCCGGGCGATTGGTGCATTTCTTGAGCCAGCGCACGAGCATGGCACGAACAGCGAGCATGGCCGAGGGGCAGGCTGGAGTCAACGTCGATATCCGAGCCGATGGCGACGTGACGGACGAGACGCTGCGCACCATTGTCTGTCGAGGCATTGAGCTCAATGTGGAGGAGCTCGGGGCTGCATTGGAGCAGATGCGCAAAGACATGACGGAAACTTTGGACAAGCACCTCTTGCTGGACTCACGCCTGCGGAAAGATTACGAGAAAGAATATGAGCGGCTGCGATTGAAGGAGGATCGGACCAACAGGGTCAAGAACTGGTGGGTGGGCCATGGCAGTCCAGCCGAGAACGCGCTGTTTGATCACATTGGCCAGACCCCGAGTCTGCGGCAAGAGTTTATCCAAACCGAGCATGGGCCCAGTGGCGAGCTGACCTTTCGAGAGAACAGGGTGCGGGTATGGCTTCCAATATGTGTGCAGGTTCAACGAGCTAGCACTCACCTACACGCACATTGCCGGAGGTACGATTGAATCAAGCCGTCTCTTGGCTTTTTTTTTTTTTTTTCTTTTTTTCGCGCCACTCATGCCTGTTTGCATTTGACTAGGTCTGCCGCCACGAGCCTCTGTGTATCAAGGGCTGTCCTACAAAAACGGCGTTGGCCGGCAACGATCTGCGTTTTTTGCCGAGAAGCAGCTCTCCATATTGACCCGCGTGAGCAAGACCTACTGGCTGTCCCTGAACGAACAGCACACCTTTCGATACATGGACCAGGAAATCAGCACGCTGATATTCATGTATTTGCTGCTGTGCAAGCCTCTGGAGCACATGCTGAGCAGCTGGCTGCAAAAGCGGGGCAGGCTGAACACCCCCGACGACGAGAACGGCATTCACAATGCCGAGCAGGACGACGAAGATTTGCTCGACGACGAGCTGGATGAAGACCACATGAGCCACAACGAGACGATGACTTTGCGACGCGAGGTCCGGGACGCTCGAAACCACTACAACAACAGCCACCTGCTCTTCAATATTGCGCCCCTGCAGACGATGGTCAGCCCAGCCACCATCTATGCGGCATTTCGTCGGCAGATGACCACGTACCTGCATCGGCCAAAGCTGGGGGTGGCCACGTGGCGACACGCCGCAACCTTCTGGATGACGACGTTTGTCATTAACCGACTGTCGGCCGAG